TTCTCCGACCGTCTCGACTCGACACCACGATCGCTTTTGGCAGGAGACACGCACGCGCAATGCAGCTACAGACGCCACATTGCCCCCGATCGAGTCTGCTAACACCAGAAGAGAGCGCGGCCGGAGTCTAGAAGCCTCAGGTTCTGCACGCGCGAGAGCGCCAGAAATGCCAATGAACTAACGATTCAGCCTTCCTCGTACGCAACGATTACGCCGAATATGATCGCCAGACCGTAGTGGCATCTGCGGCGCGTTGTCTGGCATCCTCCAACAACAACGCGCGATCCAGATTGCCACGCTCATCATGGCTTCAGCGCTGCACGCAAATCCCATTGAGAGGGATATCGAGATGCACGATTCCTTGACGCCGACCCTGCAGGATCTCGCCCGTCAAAATTTGCCACTTACACTGCCGTGGCATCCCAGGGAAACGATCAAGCCAGGCATGATCTTCTCCTCCTTGAGGGCCGACACTGACAAGCCGTGGTCCAAGCTGAGCCCGTTCAAGCCAAGAAGTCTACAGGAGACGCCAATTCGATTCAGCAGAGCCAACGGCGATGTTGCTAGCTATTGTTCACAATCGACGTCGTCTCGAGTCGAGAACAATGAGCACATGAGTGTCAGTCTTACAGTATCTGTCGAAGCACTGGTCGCTAGTGCCAGCGTGGGTGGATCGTACGCCAAGTCAGTGGCGAAGAACACCGATGTACATCCCCTTCATGTATGCTCATGGCCCACGACACTTCTAATCTTGCAGTAGGCAAACAAAACATCGGTGCGATCTGTGTTCCGCAGTGGAACGGTGCTCATGGACCGAGTTCCCTCGCTCACTGACGAAGCTTTAATCAAGTTGAAATATGACGGTGGCCTCGATGCCTTCAAGGAGACCTACGGAGACTATTATGTGGCGGGCTACCGCCTAGGAGTCGACAATGGGCTTTTCGTCAGCTATGACGGCTTCGCGGAGCGCAACAGTGAGACAAAGGCACTGGAAGCCAGCGTCAAAGTCCTCGGTGTTGGCAAGACTCACAGGGAGTTCTGGACCAAAAGCAGTGGGTTGCATAACCAGTCAATCCGCTTCGTGGCCTACGATACTCTCGACGATATCATGATCGAGAAAACTGTGAAAGCTGCAGGATCTATGACAGCTCTCGAAAAGGAAGTTGACGATATGTCAAACAAAGCACAAAACATCGAGCAGAGGTGCGTGAAACGACTTGAAGACTTACATATCAGAGACGGACAGACGCTCGAATACGAAGCACTTGATCGTATCACCAAGGCTGGCTTGGTGGCCGAACTGGTGCTGCTGCCTATTTCTTCGATCAGAGAAGTTCTAGACTGGGCCGTTGACGACAATATCATTAAGTTGTAATGCCGAAATATTCGCTGCTTTGCCCATCGTACAAGGCACCTTCTGGGCCTGCTGCATGAATCAAATGTGGCGCTGAGCCAAATCGCTGCGCTGCTTTAGTGCAATGCGTCTTGCAAGCCACGTGAATTTCCTAGCTCGGCTCGGCGTTTCCGTCAGCCACATATCGCACTAAGTCACTCGAGTACGCAGCCCGCTCGCCAGCAGCGTCCTTCGAGCCGGGGACTAGAGATCATATTGCAGTTGCTCCTTCTTCACCGATGAGCCATTTCCTGTTATTCGTTCACAGAGGCAGGACGTGGAAGTCCTTTTCCCTGGCGGCTAGCACTTCACTCTGCAAATATGCCCATCATTTATCGACCAGGAAAGGAAGGCGTCTTATTGAAAGATTTGCCTCTCAATTGGGACGGCAATCGATTTGACATTTCTTCGACAAATTCGAAGACCCAGTACGGCTTGCAGCTTACCACTGCAATACGAATATGTACTGATGAGTGTAAAGGAAAGCAGCTTCCGCAGTCTGCACTTTTGTAAACAAGAGTCATTTGACCTACCAGCGTCACAAGAGATCCTATCATTTGAATTATCCCAAGACCCTGGAACGACGTCTGAGAGATGGGGCTGTCGCAGAGGCGGGACGGAAACAGAGAGCGCTCATCAAGCTATTCGAACTCGATGATCAACAGAAAATTGACGCCAAAAAGCAACTTGCTGGTTTCAATGAATGGGCCAAACCTACAACAAAGGTTGCGGCCATGTTCAGTCAGCAGGTTGTCCCAGGTACCTCCACGGGGTTCAGTATCGGGGAGAACTTGGTGATCACGGCGGGCCATTGCGTTGTGGATCCGGAAGGAAATGACCCAATAACTGACTACTACGCCGTCTTCGGTATGACCGTGGAGTTGACTCGCAATGGAAACTTCCCCGAAGAGCAAGTCTACAGTGTGAAGAGGTATCGATTCAACCTCCCCCAGAAGCGCGACGACACTAATGATTGACACGCCACCTAGAGTTATTCAACGTGCGTTTGCAGACGATTACGACAACCCAAACGCTGGAAAGCCATCACCGCTGCAACCACTGCTGAACATACCGCTTTGGACGCGGAAAGGTGTTAACTATGACTGTGCAGTCATTGAATTGGTCGGGAGGAGTAAAAGCTCGTTGAGTCAAATGACCTTGAAGCCGTCGCCAGTACATACCAATATGGAAGTGTCGCTGATCGGCTCGCCGCGAGGTCTGCCGCTGAAATGCTCGAAGGGCGGTCGTATATTGGAAGCGATTGACTTGAAATGGCACGACCCAGCGAATCAGCCAGCAAGGCCACCTTTGAAGCCTGGTCTAGCAGAGAAGTTCGAATCCTTTCTATTCTCTACACTCAGCATGGTGCTGACTGTAGCAGTGCAACTTTCACAGTCGATGTTGATTCCTTCCCAGGTCGGTACCTTGCTTGTCCGATCTTCCTCTTCGCTGACACGCCCAGGCAATTCTGGAGGCCCGTTGGTTCAAGAAACTTCGCCGTCAGTGGTGGTTGGCATCACGCGTTCCGGAGTGAACTTCCCGTTCTCCGATAGCTCACTATCGAGCACACAAGTCGCTCCAGGCCGCCTCACCAACGAATGGGCTCGAAAGCAGTTACTGACAAAGGAAGCTATCGCCGAAGCAGAAGCACTAGGCTTTCCGCTGAATAAGGCCAAAACCAAATTGGGAGCGGATATCGATGCAAGCTGGCTCTACGGATACGAGGGAGTCCGTCTGTCCAACGATGCCAAGTACCTCTACCAGCATCGTTTTTACGCCGAAAGTGCCGTCATTCGCAATCTGAATCGCTTCACGAGAGTTGATGCACTCTCATATTTCACCTCGAGTCTTGCGGCATTCCGTCAGGCTCAACGATCAGATGTCCCGCAGGTCCAAAGCTCGTTGTCCATCTTCTTTTTTTGGCCAGACTCGCACACTATGGGCTTCAAAGGTGGTCTAAGATTGAGGATCAATCTTCGATCCGCGTACTTCGAAACCGACACACTCACTCCAGACCCTTCGACTGGCTGGCTTGAGAGTGATAGCAATATTTATTGGCAATACAATGCTCGAGACACGCCAGCCCAGCCACCAGGGAGGCTGTTTTCATTTGGTCCTGGAAACATCCCGCATGGTGCCTGTCACTCAGCAAGAGGCATCGCAGACTGGGAGTCTGTCGAGGTCATTCGTGATGATAACCAGGCCTGGGAAGATACACCAACATCACTCGAGCACAGAGCATCGTTGTCGCTCGACCTGCAGTACAAGCGCCTGACTGATACCTCGAACCAGCCTCGCTGGGGGGAGGAAATATTCGCATTTGGCGTGAACCTGCTCTTGGACACGAAAAAAGACAGACACGGCAGAAACACCGAAAGTTTGATCGTAAGTGCTCCTCAGTGCCGGGTTCTTCAAACGACTAACATGTTTTCCCAAGGGCGTGATAGGGAAGCTGGAACCTCCCCCACCAGCGAAGATGCCGGAAAATCTGAACTCGCGGGACGAATATTCCATATGGAAAGGTCCGAAGAGACCGGAGGCCGTAGAGGATGCAATTGCGCCGTTCGTATAGACGAGGTCTTTTGAATCGATCCTGCCCATGTGTATTGATACGGAAGCCAATCCTGCCGAAAGCTCTGTGCTCCTACAAAACAAGCCATGAGTATCAATGTCATCTCCAAAAACTACTGACAGCTCTAGCAGCTCACTGCATCGTAGCGATATAGATGCTCAATATGAAACGGCGTTTACCTCTTACGCATCGCAATAGAATCAATGGTAAAATTCGACTGAACAGGAGGCTTACTTCGAAAACGCAAACAACGATGCGCTGTCCTCAGAACAAGTCAGCACAGGTGCCAAGATTGCCGATATCGATCGTGCGAGATCAATTTGCAGATACGCATTGAAAGAACAAAGTCCATCCACGCGGCAACGACCGGAGAAACATGGTGTTCTTGCAGCATTGTATATGCAAGCAATGCTCTGAAGCGTACGACTGACATGCGAGAACCAAAATAAGCGTTATACCGATCAGCTTTTGATTTATTGGGGCATAACAGGCAAGGTTTCGCCGGATCCAATGCGTCCTGGCGACCAATCGAGGTATGAATGGTTCATCTGGAAAGGTCCACAAGCCTCGGACAAAACCCTTTCTATCGTGGCGCCGTTTGTCTAGGTGTTCCTCTTGGATCACTTTCAACCATTTGATATCAGCAAATTGGTGTAATTCTAGTCAACGAACACTTCTAGCGATCTAGCTTGTCATCAAAACATGTACGCCACCTCTCAGGCAGCTATATCTGACGTACGCTCTTTCGTGATAACATCCGGACTGCAAAGGAGCGAGGAGTTTCCCTGAGTACACTTCTTACCTCAGGAACGCGAGCAACGATAGCCTATCATCAAGATATACTAGCAAATGTATGTCGGTTTGCCGCACTCGATTGCCCGAAATTGACTTGCAGAGGGTGCATATGGCAGACCAAAATCCGTCCTGGCATCGAACAGAGAGATATGGCGTTCTTGCACCATCGTGTAAACAAGGGACAGATACCTTTGAAGCATACGCCTGGATGCCGAAAAACAAGACATTCGCTACATCAATGTTGTTTACTTATCCTACATGGTCATGGCCTGTAATATTGGAGAGCGATGCCTGGATTTAGAAGCCTGCACCGCAGACATCACCACTCAATATGCTTCCGTACTCTCTATACTTAGAGAGAGGATAGTAATCACACACTTTGCGGAGGCTTGATTCTCACGTTCGTGATTGCTTCCATATCCTAGGTTGTCGGACTTCTCAGCGTGTTAGAACCTAGTTGGTACGATTACGAACTGCACTCTGCGGTTCTGGATCTTAACAAGTGTGCGGGCGATATAAAACCAACTCCCTCCTCCTCTGAATCTCCATCATTTTCACCCTCAACTCAGAAGCTTCTGATAATCTGAAGCTACGCCTGAACTCGCGCATTCCTTCATTTAATCAGTACAATGCTGCTCAAGACGCTTTCGCTGTTCATCGCCTTGCTATTACAGATGATTGGCTTCGTCTCTGCCTGCAACGACTGGTGCACTTGTCTCAACGGAGATGGATCCCACTTCTGTACTTGCAGAGCAAAAAAGGGGGTCAGGGTATTGCCCATGCTGCGCAGACCTGAACCTTGGCCACAGATGCTGCAATGCTTTTTTCGGTTGCGCGCGGCGCTTCAAATGTTCTGCCGCCCAAGTAAGCTTCACTCTCTATAGTTCATGGGTCTGATGAGTCTTGAAAGAGGGCTTACATATTCATCTGCTCAAGGTATTCACGCAAGGGAACTGCTGTCCGAAAGCGCTCAATGATTGCAAGGCTCGTGGCGCCTACGGCTGTTTAAACGTGAATGGGCATAACACGTGCGTTAAGGAGACTTCCTACGATTGTAGCTCTCCGCGACATACGTGTTCAGCTGGGTCATCGATGTATCCGGCAATGTGAGATTCCTATCTTTCGCGGTCAAACCAATGCTTCTTGTCGCTAACACCAGGTGCAGAGACTCGGATGTTTGCATTTGTACCACCGTCTATCCCACCGTCAGTGATCCAACAAGGGCTTGCTAGACATCAGTGTCTGAAGCGATGCCAAACTTATTGTGATCAGCTGGTAGGATGAGTTTGGGGTATGGTAATTACGGCGCTTGAAATCTTGGTCAACAGAGCCGCTCGTTGCACTGTCGGGACCAGCTTACAATGAAGTTCTCTGGGATAGCAGATCGACGTGTTGGGTAGTAGACCGTCTACAATTGGGTTTTGTATTGACAGCTCCCGCTCCAATGTGCCTCAGGGCACACACAAGGGGAAGTACTTAAATTCCTTCTGTTCAACGCCAAGACACCTACATGTTCGCAATCACTCTCGTTGAATATTGACGTTGTGCGTGGAGGCTGGGGCAGTGTTCGATGCCCGTCTCTTATTCGTCTAACGCGTAGCCCTTTCCCCGTTGTAACTGTGCCTCCGCATGAATCAGCTGCACGATCGCGAAGCATTGCTTATTCTGTCTTCACAACAGAATCGCTAGTATATGACCCGCAAGAGCTGGTGCACCTGTCTCTACTGTTGCACTTGCTGTGGGTCTTCTCTGCCGAATGAATCGAATCATGCAACGCAAGCAGTTCGGACATTCGCCATGCCGTAGAAATGACCTTCTGCTTCGTCGCCCACTTGGTGGTACCTGGCAGGCGGAGCATGATCGGTTCAATGAACATATTCGTCAGGACGATTAATGCTCCTAGTGCCACAATGATCCCAAGTCCAAGTACGCTGAAAGACGAGTATGCGGTACTGGTAGTGACTTGGTTCTGGCACATCCAAGATTCCACTGCTGTCGGAGGACGGACATATCGGTTGTAGGCTTCATTTCCATAGCCGGTCACAAACTGCTTAGCGGCAATCTCAGTTGCAACGAGAGAAGTTGAAACCCATTGCTGGAGCTCCAATACCCATTGATTGGCTGGTAGCGAGGATCCGGTGTTGTCGAAAGAACGTCTTCTGGCCAACATACTGGCCCCATTCAATTCCACGACCATATCTCCGAAAGCTGATTTCGCAAGCGCATCCGTAACGCGCCTCAGTGTCGATCCCTGCTTTTCATTCAGCCGCAAAAGCTCCGTGAGGTCGCCGCTCAGGCTCGAACCGTATGGGTTGACGGGTGAACATATTCCCAGAGCAGGGTTGCAGATCTCATCGTCTTCAAAGCAAGCCAGAGTGCCAATGGTGTCGTATTCAGCGAACCAAGTTTCATAGGTGGCCCCAGAATATGTTATGTGTGGGATGGTATGAGAGTTCGTTGTCTTGAACCAGGGGTCATGGACGGGTCCCGCGCTGTAGGTGTAACCGTTCATCAGGAACATCAAAAGTGTCGTTGATTGATTTCTTGACAAGCCCGCAGTCGGCACGAATCTGTTGTAACTTTTGTCGAGAGCCTCTGGTCCGCCAGGCACATGCTGCTGCACTCTGTCGTCTTGTGAGTATGATGATATTCTGCTAGCTAAGGAATGAGCTTACTGCACACCGTATGCCTCCCCACTGCCCTTGGTACGCCCCGAATGATAATTCATCCACAACGCTTCATTCTGCACGAATGTGGCCTCCATACCCAAATCAAAATTCGATGCGCCAAGAAATATAGCATCAAACAAGCTGCCATTGTATATCTGACTGCGATTGGGATTGAAGATTTCAGGCTCAAGCCAGGCTAGGATGCTTTCGTCCGAGTTGGACGTCATCTCTGGCGGCCACAGTTGTGTGTAGTTGTTTTGTGCATATTTTCGAGTACGGTTTTCTGCATTTATCGGTGAGCAGGTGAGTTGCTTCCGAAACGCCACTCTGTCTCGTTTCGGCGCGTTGATGCCCAAATGATGCGAGGAATCTACAAGACCAGAGTCGAGTACGAGTGTTTGAGAAGCACATGAGATGTCGGTGAAAGGGCAATCACCGTGCATTGAGCTGTTCCAGCGTACGAATGCCCGACCAGGCGCCACGCAAGTCGAAAGCTCTCCATGTCTGGCGCAGTACTGCGTCAGAAGAGAACTGTCGGCCCAGTTGACGCTTCTCTGTCCCTCCCAATCAGAGACTCGCACAATATTGTCTCCATAGTCATCGTCAGACTTGGCCAACTTCGTCCAGTACCCACACGTATCCTGACGCAGTAAAACGTCCGACCTGGTATTAGTGATCTTCGAAGAGAAGATACTGGCAGCGAAGAATCCAACCATGATAATGACAGCCGAGGCATGCACTCCAATTGTCGTCCGCAGCAAGTTCCTACGTTGTGCTTGTCGACGCCATTGCCACAAAGCATAGCCAAAGTCGATAGTGGCGGCGGTAGAAGACTCGCTGTTGCGCAACAATGTCTGCAACGGGTCGTCTTGTGGCATTGGATGGTCGCAAGCCGATCGCAGTCGAAACGTGATCCAGCAGAGTAGCTGCCAGAAGTGTGTGCCTGTAAGTGTGACGTACAGTGCGAGGAAAGCGATCAGAGATGCGGCAGTGCGTTTGTCCAAGGTCAGTGTCGAGCCACGATAGAGCCCATCAGTCCAATTTACCCAGAACCCTTCATAGATAGATTCTTCTGTGATCATCTTGCCAATATGTCTCTGTGGAGTGTAGCTCGGATACCAATGTTTGTGCAGCTGGGAGTGCATGTCTGCATCTATTTAACATAAATGTCGAAGGCAATGTGCTAGTAGTGCGCACTACCGAAAGCGCGCGGCCTCGATTCCAGCGACTAGAAGATGCATGTCGTGCCCGTTGCTTTGCATGTGCAGCGACCTGCATCGATCTGCTAAGCGCAGTCCTGGACAGGCTATGCGTTGTATGAGAAGCGGCTGGAACAAATCGATGAGAGTTCCTGTCCGCATTTCCGCGATGTCAGCGACTGCAAGGCAACGCCAAGAGGGTCGTGCGAACCGCAATGCCCCTCATACCCACCTTGAAGGCAGACACTATAACGAACCAGATATATGTCGCCCATCGTTACACGCATATACATCGGGGCCATGTAATGGGATGGGTACAAAGGCACTGCCACAACCTGACCTCGTGGCGCTCACGAGACCATTGACAGTCGCCCTGTCGATCACCGCGGAGTAGAGCTTGCCTGCCCAAGATACTTGGATTCCGAGGCTCTAGCCGCTTGGGTGAGGCTGACTAGCACATCTTGCTTCTTTTTTTTTTGGGTCATACGTGGCCCTTCGATCGCCTTAGACCATCTTAAATTTCTTCAGTCATCATCTCGAATCCAGTGAGCGGATTAAAAACGCGGTCCAGTAGGAAGGAGGATGCGGCCTCCAGCTTTGCCCGTCGTGTTCAGTACCGGTTCGCGTGCGTGCCACACTATGCGTACAGTAGACGCTGATTGTATGACGAAAGTTGACCAATCCTTCTGCCATGGGCCTGCGTGCAATCACCTCCCAGCCTCCAGGCCGTCTGTCAGCTTCCGGCTAATGATATTCTGGCCGTCAGTCTCATGATCGAGTACATCTCCGAAGGATGATCGAGTACATCTCCGAAGAGTTTCCATCATAGTGTCATTCATGACAAGAAACTGCGAGGCGAGACGGACGAGCGAGAAGAGGAGGCGGAGAGGTACCGGCTCTTGGCGGATACCTCAGGCATTATTATCTGCCTCTTTCTCTTTCCAAAGAATAGCGGTCGTCCAGGCACCTACTTACAGAAAGTGCCTTTGAGACACTTTCGATTCAGGCACCGAAATACATCGTCGAAAGCCACATCATCATACACGCAAGCTTACAGCAGTGAGGATATCACGGCAGAATACCGTCTCCTCAAGCACTGAACCATTCCTGCTGCCTCCCATCATTGTCCTTTATCGCCGCTAGTATATAATTCTGAAACCCGGGCAAGACGTCTCTCACATAAAACACCACAACTTCTTCAACATGTCTTCTAAACACGTCGTCGTCATAATCGGCGCATCCGGCATTGGTCTCGCTGCCGCTCGACGCATAGCAGGAAACCGCAAAATCTTCCTCGGAGCACGATCTCAGAAGACCCTCAACGCTGCCAAGGAATCCCTCGTAGACGAAGGCTTCGAGATTGTGACCCATGAAATTCTGATCAGCTCCCTAGAATCCGTTCGCACCTTTGTCGCAGCGGCCGCATCCCACGGCATCATCGACGTTGTGGTGCATACTTCCGGGGTCTCACCCAGCACAGCAACCTCTGTCGAGGAGGTCATCCAAGTCGATCTCCTTGGGACTGCGTATGTCATCGATGCCTTCCTGGAATACGCGAGCGAAGAGACATCAGTCATCTGCGTGTCGTCGTCAGCAGCATATATGAGCTTCGCATGGCCAACACTTTCGGCATCGTTACAACGACATCTAGCTCTGGCCCCAGTCAGCGAACTTCTCTCTCACGAAGATTACCAGAACTTCGAGTACAGCGGGCCACAAAGCAAGATACTCTGGGCATACTGGTTTGCCAAATATTCGAATCTTCTGCGAGTCCAAGGTGCCGCGATAGCGTACGGGAAGAAGGGTGCTAGAATCAATTCTATCTCACCAGGTCTGACGATGACGAAGATGGGTCGTGCGGAATGTGAAGGTGAGAATGGAGAGGGTATGAAAGCGATGATGGAATCGTCGCCGATAAAGCGCGCTGCTACTCCGTATGATGTTGCGAATGCTATTGCTTTTCTCGTGGGATCGGAGTCGAGCTACATCACAGGAAGCGATCTGAAGATCGATGGCGGGGTGGTGTCTTCCATGAGATGGGATGTGCTGAAAGATGGGCTTCCAGTGGACGAGGTCGAAGTTTTGGAGCGGTAGCACAGCCTCCATGTTGCGGCGAGTTGACCTGGAGTGAGTCGTCAACGCCAACCAGTGTCTCAAGGTCGACGCATGACCCCGTACTCTGAACTGAATACCTCTGAGCCACTTGTTCAATATTTTGCCCTGCTCATCACCGCATCCCTCAATCCGTCGCCCCATACCTCCTCCTATACTCCTCCATCCTCCCCACCTCCTCACCCCTCCCCAACTTCTCCGCCCCAACAATAATATCCTCCAACGTCAACACCGCCAGCACAGGCACCCCCGTCTCCCTCCTAACCTCCCCAATAGCACTCTGTCTACTCCCCCCATCATCCTCCCTCCCCTCCTTCTCCGCAGCACTAGGCGTCTTCTCCTGCCGATCAACCGCAACCACAATCCCCACCAGCGTCCCCCCTTGCTTCTCAATAATCTCAATCGCCTCTCGAATCGCCGTGCCCGCCGTAATAACATCATCAATAATTATAACCCTCTTCCCTTTCAAACTCTCCCCCACAATCGTCCCACCTTCTCCATGATCTTTCGCTTCTTTCCGATTGAAAGCATACCCCTTTCCATCCCATTTCTCGGAATCTAAATGACTCAATTCATTCCCTGTGATTCCTGCGATCGGAATACCTTTATACGCTGGACCGAAAATTATATCGAAATCGAAAGAGGGGTTTGAAGTGGCGTATTCGTGGATTGTACGGGCGTAGGCGCCGTTGAAGGCTCGACTGAGGCCGAATTTGGAGAAGAGACCGCAGTTGATGAAGTAGGGTGATGTGCGGCCGGATTTGAGTGTGAAAGAGCCGAATTTGAGGATATCGGCTTTGAGAGCCTTTTCGATCAGGTCGGTTTTCCAGGGTGGGAGAGACATGTTGGGTGTGCTGCTTGTGCAATGGTTTTGTTGTGTTTGGTGGGGGAGGAAGGCAGAGGAGGGGTGTGAGGTCAACTTTTTAATGGGGCCGATAAGCTTCGTCTTATCGTCATTCGTGCCTGAGGCCTACATATAAATTGCGAAAGGAAGGGTTGGGGGTTTGGGGTTGGGTTGGATTGGGTGTTTCTGTACCGTTTGATGGTATTGATACCTTAATATCCACAGTACGTCCTTCCTCCCCTTCGAAAAACTATGCTACAGGAACCGAAAGTGGATGTTACATCCAATGCCCCACATCCCAAACGCTATGCCCTTCCCTCCCTAGAAACCAGATCGCCGTGCTGTGCTTCCGGCATGCGAGTGACGTTACTGTCGTCATTCATTAACTTCGTGTTGCTATATTCGTGATACTCATGCGATGATGGCCCCCGACCAACTCTCGTTGTGGAATCATCGTCATGCTCCTCATTCGCCTGGTGCGGCGTAGTATCAGGTGTGTAAAAAGTCCGCGGACATTGGAGCTCCTTGCTGGAGCTCTGTCGCGGTGTAGACGGTGCTTCTGGAAGGTCAACGTCCGTCTCTGTCACTTCCGAGGTATCGAGATTGAGCTCATCCATCATTTCGTCGAAGCCAGAGTCAGTGTGGAGAAGTTCGGCAACACGAGCTGGATCCCGACTTTGCAACTGTGCGACCCTGCGAGACAGCTGTGGCATCTGGCCCGATAATCGATCGTCCGGTTGATTGCTCATGTATGGCTGCCACCCAGAATCCTCGCGCTTGGCTTGTTGCCCGTCTTCAACGCGATCGCAGTCATCAGTATGACCAGAAAATCTTCTGCGCATAGGCGAACCCTCGTACGAGGTCGCGCTCGAAGCACTTCTCCCAAAGGGCGAACTCCTTCGGCGCCTGCTCGATACTGGCGACCTGCCTCGACTGTGTGTACGCCGTCGCCGGCCGACGATACACGATCCATCGGAATCAAATGCATACATCGAATCAGGATTAGAGTCTGGTCGCATATAAGTTACAGCATTCTGCAGCATCGAAGAATAGTCGATAGGCTCGTGATGCCGATGCTCTTTGACATCATCGATAGTAATTGCCATGTCCGGATCGATGTATTTCTTCGCGGAGCGGTAAGCTGTGGATGAAGAGCTTCGGTCTGAGAAAGGCGAGTTGAGTTCAAAATCGTGCGAGATGCGTCGCGGAAGTGGCTGTCCAGCATGCGCTGGGAAATGTCGCAGAAGCTGCACTGCATCTTTTCTGCCCTGCGGTCGATCACTTAGGCACGTCTCGACAATGTCACGGAAGTACCGCGGGACCTCGTCAATTATGCGCGGTAAAGGCTTCTCGACTCTCTCTGGCTCATCGACCTCTTCTGCAAGCGCCCACAAGACCATGCCTAGCTGGAAAAGATCAGTCTTGACGCCAATGCACATGCTGATACGTTGTCCGCTGTCAATCAGCCGATTGAGCTCAGGGGGCTCCCAGCCCACAGGACATCCTCTCCTGTTGATATCGATGATCTGTGCGTTGTCATCTTCATCGACCACAATGTTCGACAGGGTAAAATCGCCTTGCACGAATCCAGCTTCATGAATGTCTGCAAGACCGCTCACAATCTGCTTGGCCCATTTCTCGCGTCGATGCCATGGCAGAGAAGTCGTGCCTCTGAAATCGTAGATCATGTCCACGAGCGCGCCTTGGCTAGCGTAAGAGATGAGCAGGCCTTTAACACACTCGCCTCTGGCATCAGTCACCAGTCCTTCTAAGCGCACGACATGCTTGCTGTCCATCAGCGAGTCAAGCGCATTCAGCTCATACATGAACTCCTGAACCGTGTCCGGACCAGGAATCTCTTTCTTGATTACAACGCGACCATTCAAGCGTACCTTGTACACGAAGCCGCTGAGGTGCGACTCCAGATCTAATGAGCTCTCATTGAATCGTGGACATCGGATATGGTCAAAGAGCGAGATGGCAGGCCAGTCGACAATCTCATTCGCATCTTCTCGCACATGAACATGCAGTTGCCCATCCTCTGGAGTGGTCTCAAGCTTCAAGTTAGTTACGGTATCGTAATACTGGATATCAGGCAAGGAATCACGAATCGCCTCGTAAATGCGTAAGCTCTTGTCGCGCTGATAGTGCAACGTGCTAAGATCTTCTTCCAAAGAGTCTTTGGGTGCATTCCTGTAGTCGAGCGAGATGGTGAGCCGCCTCCATTGCGTAGGTCGTTCGGCGTAGGTAACGAAGAACTTCTCCCGATTGGATTTATCTCGAAAATGCATTGACAGGTTGAGGATCCAACGACGATCGAATTCCTCTTGCAGCGTGCTCCTATCCACATCAAAGCTTTCGATTTGTCGACCCTCTTCGATGAACGGGGGAGGTTCATCGGTGGTCGGTATTTGCAGAGGAGGCAGGAGTGGGAGGTTTCGACTTGAGCTTGATGCGCCCTGATCCGCAGGTCCAAAGGAGAGCGAGGGCAAAGAGCTGTCTCTCTTCCACTCCGCAACGTCGAGACTTGATCGAAGAGGTAGCTTGAAAGACGGCGGCGATAGTGTCCGGTTGAGCGTACTACTCCGTCGCCTATCCTCACTCATCGCCCTCCGCTCCCGTGTCGAAGGCTCCACTTCCAACAGCTTCTCTCTCTTCTCCGACTCTTGCCTTCGAAACGTCTGAGGGCGAGGCAGGGAAGGAATCGCCCTCCTGCATATGGGCAGGTTGTCTGGGACACTCGACCTTCGTGCAAAGTAATCGGGCGTCTGGGCGAGCTCGGTCGGAGCTGTCTGCGGCAGGACATCGTCATTGCTCTCTGCATGATGCCTCCTCCGCAATGCAAAGGGCTTCCTCAGCAACGAAGAGGGTCGCAGGCGCTTCGGAGGGGCGTCGTCCAGTCCCGTATCTTGCATTGCATCGTCGTTGGTATGACTGGCGAATGGGAAACGGTGCGGCATGTTGCGCTCAGCCTTCGGTGACATAGGCCGTCACTTGTAGAGACACGGTGCACAATGCCACCTCCTGACGGTCGTGCTGTAACTAGCGGGTTCAAGAGTGAGGTTGCACGCGGAGCCTCGTACAACGTTTCGTGCTGTGCATGTCCATGGGTGTTCATGCAGGCGTGGCCGAATGCGTGGGCAGCGCTGTTCTCGTCTCTGGCCGGCCGCGCTTGCAGGTGGCCTTTATCGCTGGCAACGACAGCACCGGGGGAGGTGACGAGGTGGTATGTCGCGGTAACTAGTGCAGGATCAATGTCGGGCTTATTGTTTGGCACTAAAGTTGGGCGTTCGCGCGAGCGGTGAGTCGCCAACAACAACAAGGTGCGATGGCGCGTCGTGCAAGGCTGCTCTGCCTGGCTCACTGCTGCTGCTGCGGACGTTCGCACGGTGTTCGCAGACACGCAGAGCGACGACGAGGATTGCTGCTGGGGAGCATGCCGCTCGATGCTCGTCACCGGTGCACGAAGAAGGGTCTCACGGTGTATTTGACTGCTGCTTGTCGCTGGAGGTGGAGGTGGAGCACAGCAGCCACTCACGCCGCCGAGCTGAAGTGCGAACCAACGTGGTTGGATTTTCGCAATCAATCCTCCGCCCTCCCGCATCGCCGCTTTCCTGTCACGCCAACTCTCGCTGCTCTGCGCTGCCATTGAGCGCCCAGCTCTTCCGCCTGTGAACGCCGCCCCGTGTCAGACACGCAGCAGGCCGTCCGTCTCAGTCTCACAACTTCGTCACGCCGCAGTCAGACCAGCGCCACACAACGTGTCATACGCTCGCCGAAGAGGCCTGTCTGCCTGCACAAACCGTGTCGGGCAGCAGGACAGCAACAGGGGCCGCAGAAACCGCTCAATGCTGCGCAGCCTTCTTGGGGGAGCTCCAGTGCAAGCTCGACACCTGTTTCCTCGCTGCAGCTAGTCGCCCTCGCGGCACGCTGCGTCTACCATTTGGATCTCTAGGCGCGTCGCCGTCTTCATGCATCTGCAAGGCCCTTCCCAGCCTCACCATTCTAATGGTACTGGGTCCCCGTGCCTTAGGCATATCGCCGATACTATATGGATCTGCTGATGAGACTACTGCTGCACTGCGGCGAGAAGAAGCAACTCCTACCAGGTGTTGGTGAAGTGCCGCCCAACTATGTGTTGGCTCACAGCCCGCGACCGGCGCAGCAATGGGTCGGTCTTCAAGCCGTGATCCACCAAACTGTGTCCTCACGCCGCGACCCAGCATGTCAACACCTCCCGCTACAGAACAGCGCATGTTACGTGGGGTGATCCTTGAAGCCCACAAAGACGAGGGCCGCACCATTACCAGTTTGCTCGGTTCGCAAACGATCGATCTGTACGAAGTGAATGCTGTCAGTGATAAGTTGAGGTCGTGTTAGTAGCATCTTCAACCACATCCCACGCAAGAGGAAGAGCAATCGCATCCGCTTTCATGACCCTCAGCGTCAGTCAAAACACCTTCAGACGTCTCCTGACCTTCAAAACCTGTAGCTGTCCACGCTGTGACAGCTCACCAAACAGTCCATCCCGGTCCGCGGTTTCTCAAAGCCACGGAAGGGAGGGAAAGGCAGCTGGCAGCTCCCACCAAAGTGGCATGTTCCGGATCTTCATATGCACACCGGCATGCAACCTAGTTCAAGCTCCGTCCATACAGACGCCATCATCAAAAGACTTTGCTTCATGTACAATACAATTTTGCTTGTGTACAAACACTAAAGAACCATAAAGTAAGAGCCCGTCCCCAAAGCCACCAACACTAACGCGGTAAGAATACCAGCGCCAGCACGATCAGCTGTCGTGATATCAGATGGCTCAGCGATATCGTTGTCGCCTCTTGTACCGGCATTGGGGTCTCCGACCGAAGTAGCTCCTGTGCCGTTGCCAACAGGACCGCTCACTTGGTCGATCAAGTTGGCTTGGATGACTTCCAGAGCATTCATCTGCTGTCCGACTCCGAAAGCTCCATCCCACTCTCCTGTCGTCCATTTCGTTCCGCAAGTTTCGCCATCTGAGCCACCGGAGCACTGTACCCATCAAGTTAGCAACTGGCCACCAAAGACTCGAACCTTTCAAAAGAGAAGAAAATCACTCACCGACGCAGCAGCAGCAATCGCCGAAGCCGACATCAACGGCATAACAATATCATGCGTCCAAGGCGCAACCTTCACAGTAGCCGCCATCCACCGACTCAAATACGCCTTAAAAGTCTGCTGATCAATATTGCAGTTCCTCGAATCCTCGCACGCCACTTCAATCATAATATCACTCCCCTTGAAGAAAATCCTAATAATCGCATCCAACATGCCTTGCACACGTTCTCGCCACTTCGCCTCATCCGCCCCATTCGCTGTAATATTCCACATCACAGCTGCGGCATTGAGGTACACTCCGGCATTGTAAGACCATTGAAAATGGTTCAACTCGCGACAATCCAGTTTATCATCAGAACCATCATAGACATGATAATCATCGCTAATCATTCCGATACTGCGCGACCAATCCCAAGTTCGATCCGCCCATTCGGAGAAAGTGGTGTTTTTCGTGTACATTGCCAATCGGGCTCCGAGGTTAAAGAAACAGCCGTTTGAAATTGCGTTTTTGTAGTTGTAGCCGTTGTTGAAAGTGAAAATTTGCCATTTGAGTCCTCCGCCGCAGGCGTTTGTGTCCCAGCGGACGGCTTGGGAGTTGAAGACTGCTTGGGCGAGAGCGAGCCATTGGGGTTGGTCTTCGGGTGGGTTGGGGAAGTTGTATTCTGCGGCTGACATTGCTGCGATGCCCCTACGAGGTTTTGCGTTAGTATGGCGTTCGTGATCGTATGCGAGAAGAGGAAGTGTATACCAGAATGCTTGATCATCGTTTCCTAGCGATTTCGATTGATTTGGAGGCATGAAGTTCGCATCAGGACCGACCTGTATCATACCCGATCAGTCAGACGCTCGCATTCCAACCTCAGGCGTGCCTCTGTTTGCTCCATTCGCGCAGGGCTCCCCGTATTCGTATCCGTATTCCTTCTCATTCCTCGCAAACCAGGCCGACCAGCATCGCGACTCACCTGGAACAATAACCCTTCAGTCACCAATGCGTTGTACTGCTCGTCGCCCGTGTAATACCAGTAATCGATCAAAGATCCAAACATCGCGCCCGACTCCCACCAGTAGTACGGTCCTGGAAGAAGTCCCGGTATTTGAAACGAGTTTCCTTGGTACCACGCAACCATCTTCTCTGTGATTTTCGCTGAAGCATCTCGAATCGATTGCGGGCTATCCAAGCTGAGTTGTATAGCGTGGGCGGCGGGCAGAACAGCACAGCAGGCTGCTGAAAAGAGGGTGTTGGTCTTCATATTTCAGGGAGAAGCGGGTCCACAGCGGCCGCCGCTGGTATGCAGGTTTATCCGGCTTTGTGCAAATCGTCCAGTGCTGTTAACGAGCGTGAATTTTGGGCCGGAATAGAGCAAAGGTGGGAGAACACCGCCGGTCAACAGCGAATGTCTGTCGATGTTGATGATGAATGAGGTGAGACGCCATCATGGCCAACGTCAGGAGTGGTCAAGGTCTATGAAATGCCAATACGGCCCATTTACGCAGCAGGTCTTAAGCGCGGGTTGGCGCCAAGTCGAAAGGTATGCAGGCTTTGCCGGCCAGCCCTTGCCCCGTACCTCAATACTCGCGCAATATTGGCTCGAGAGTCAGTGGAACATGTTCGGGAAACTCGTCGGCGGGTTTCTGCAGGCGAAATTGACTGTTCCCACACGTCTAGTCGCGATGCGGCGCAGAATACGATGTTCCTTAACCGCCGGGAAGGAGAACATTGCATGCTTGCCAAGCCCTTGATTCTTGTCTGGCGGGTCTTTGGCTCGCCTTTGGCCGCGGAAAACATGATCATCACAAGCAATCGTCTCATCTTTCCGGCGCGTGGTGCGTGTGCACCAAGATTCTAGCGCCAGGAGGAGATCTGTGATGCTATTATTGCTTGCACAGCCCTCTAATCGATCCCACTTCTGCCGACGGCTTTCATTCGTTCCTCAACACACACAAACAAGAACAACCACACACACTCCACGACGATCGTTACCATGCTGCTATTCATTTACGCATTTTTCGTGGCGCTGGCGTCCTTCGTCAGTGCTGCAGATCAAGCTCCCGATGTCGCCTTTTCCTTAGTGATGGAGTATCGACCAGACCAGGAGTTTCGGAGTTGCAGATCGACAGACCAACAAGTGAACTGCGGATTCTGTTATCTCCAAGGAGGATTTCTGGGTTGGAACTGTAATTGCGACGAATTTGTGAGCAAACAGTCACTCCGTCGACCCGGGCGTTGCGGCTAACCAATTCGACAGTGCCACAATACTCTGAACGAGTGCTATTACATTACCCAGGCCAACCCAAGCACTTATACAAAAATTGAATGCAAGCGAGATGCACTCAATGGTTAATTTCTGCTGCCAGACATCGAAGAATTAGGGGCGTCACGGACTGTCAGAGGATGGCTTCCTGCCATGGAGAGGCCAGAATGTACATCGGCATCGGCTGTCAGAGCGGACAGCGAGAAACCAAGGATTGTGGAAAAGACGGCTTTCTGGCAGGACATCTGGGCGCGAGCTCGGCCAAGTGCTGGTCAAGCTTGAGGGCGCATAGAGCATCATCGACTTCGTAGAATGCCAACGTGGACCGCAAATCCACTGTCTTCCTGCAGGTCTCGTGGTAGAAGGTCGCCAGGAATTCTCCAAGATCGGAACAGCTTATGAAAGGCGGACATCCACTGCTCGAAAACTTCGGCCTGTCGCAACTGCTGGACGACCACGCAGATGGTCGGTCTGTTGGCTGTGTGGTGCTCGTCGCGGCTTCGAGATCTGCAGAGATCGGCGCATGTCTGTACGAAAGGTTCGATGAGAGCATAGTTGTAGATGCAGTCGCAAGCCAGAATGGCATCAAATCCACCTTGGAAGTCGTGTGCGCGCAAGAAGCCGGCCACATCATCCTTTTCCCAATCCAGCGGGCAAACTTCGATATTATAATCCTTCATTTTGTTGGTTGTCCTATTCGAGCGAGCGTTCATGTCAATATTACTCCGCAATGCCTTCAAAGTGTAGGGTTGATCAGTAGCGACAACCTTCTTTACGTGGGAAGCTAGGATACAAGGTAGGATTCCTGAGATCCCAGCTCCGAGTTCCAGGACCAAGGATCCTGAATCGAGGATGCCAGAAGTGTAGAGGAAATTTGTAGGAGATGCGAGCCATTCAGCACACCGTAAAGTGGACTGCCATAGGGCAGCGCCAGTTGTGCCTCCATCTCGGCTTGACTGTAGCAAGCCAGGCGATTGTGTGATCTCAAAGTCACGTCCGGCTATCGTGATATCGAGAACGGTCGCCTTTGGATCCAGCATACCGAGGTCTTCCATCGAAAATGGTTGAGAGAAGATATCGAATGTCTCTGTACTTACCCATTACCATCTGTTGCAGGCGAGTTCCGACAATCTTGGACGCTCTTGCCTCGCTTACGCGGGGCGTGATGGCGACGATGCTCCTTTGCTCACCTGCGTCAACGTCTTGGACTTCATCACCAAGCTGCGCCACCAGCGCGTCCATAATGCCCGCCTCCACGTGCTGTGCTCCCGTCAAGCTTGCGGTCGTTGCCTTGGCAGTCTTACTGTCCGCGTCATGAGCCTCCGGTCGCTATGGTAATGGCACAGCGCGGCAGCATCACCAGTGGTTGTCGTGCGTTGCTGTATTTCTCCTCTCACTCGAAGATGGCGGCTGCGGAGTGGGCCTCCGCGGATCGGTTGAACATGGGTGACGCTAGCACAAACCGTTGTTGCGTGAAGATCCGGTCGCTGAGGCCAGAGCTATAGCTGAACCCTGCATGCTGTCATCCGTTCACAGATAGCAGTCGTACAACGCGATGGACAATGAGGAAGAAGTAGGTGACAGCCGCGTCGTGCTCGCTCTCGCGAGCAGAGGTATAGAGACAAAGGCGCTGGCACGTGGCAGTTGTGTACGGTCAGGTGAGAGGGGTGTCACCCGGCGGAGGATTCAATCAGGCACACGCTCGCCTTTCAGGTTCGGTGGCAACCAGGTCATCATCGTCGGTGATCCGTGGCAGGCGTCGCAGCCAATCCCAGCTGCGGCGGTTTCAGTAATCCTGTCGTTCTCGCTGCTGCACGCTGCGCAGAAGTAGCGGGCCAGTGGTTTATATTCAGCAGGCGACACCCTCGAACAGAGTTGAATTGCGAATTAACATTCAGCGAACTCTCCTACCCCAAAAGAGGCGTCGCTGGGGTTGACTTGGCGTGGAGTGGAGAGGGTTGAGGTCATTGCATGTTCAGCATCTCACAAGAGCTCCAAGACCTTAGCACCGTAAGCCACACTCCCGGACAGCCACCACTCTTGGATCCGAGCCTGTCCATCCCCCTCTAGTGAATGTCGTTTGATTGCCTAGCATACTCCAACTCTCGCGCCTCCTGGCCTACAAATACCGCCGATCCCCACCGCCTCGCTCACGCCGCCGCCATGACCGACCAAAACGCTGGCATCATGGCTCGCAAGGACCTCAGGACGCTGGTGCCCCAGCCCAAAATGTACAAGAAGCCACCTTTCACCGCTGAGGTGCAGGGCGCGGAGAAGAAGGAGGGCGAGACAGTGCCACGCCGAAACGTGCGGACAAAAGACCAGCTCAAGAGCACGCCCGAGGAGGGCGTCAACACCATCTTCGATATCCTCAAGCGTTCGAGCCAGAAGTATGGCAACGCGAAGGCGCTCGGCAAGAGAAAGCTCATCAAGCTGCACGAGGAGAACAAGAAGGTGAAGAAGACCATCGATGGCGTGGAGAAAGAGGTCGATAAGAAGTGGACATACTACGAGCTGTCGCAGTATGAGTTCATGTCCTTCACCGAATATGAACAGCTCGCGCTCAACGTCGGCTGCGGTTTCCGTGCCCTGGGCATGAACCCGCAGGACCGCGTGCACATCTTCGCGGCTACACATCCATACTGGCTGGCCACCGCTCACGGAGCACAAAGTCAGAGCATGCCGATCGTCACCGCCTACGATACGCTTGGAGAGGAGGGTCTCAAGCACTCCCTTCAGCAGACACACGCGAAGGCCATCTTCCTTGACCCTCACCTCCTGGTCAAGCTCATCAAGCCACTGCAAGAGACGAAGGACATCCAGCACGTCATCTACAACGATGATAACTCGCCCACAAGACAAGTCACCGATGAGCAGACCAAGGAGAACGTGCAGAAGTTGAAGGAAGCTCACCCACACCTGACCGTGAACAGTTTCACTGAGTTCATCGAGCTCGGCAAGCAGAACAAGGTCGAGCCTACTCCACCATCTCCAGATGATCTCTGCTGCATCATGTACACTTCCGGCTCCACTGGCGCACCAAAGGGTGTGCTTTTGACGCACAAGAACGTGATCGCTGCTATCGCTGGTGTGGATGTCATTGTTGGTCCATACTTGGGCCCCGGCGACGGCCTTCTGACCTACCTTCCTCTTGCGCACATTCTCGAGTTCGTCTTTGAATCCGCCTGTCTGTACTGGGGTGGCTCCATGGGTTACGGTAACCCAAAGACCATTTCCGACGCGTCCATGCGCAACTGCCGAGGCGACATTGCAGAATTCAAGCCAAGTATCTTGGTTGGTGTTCCAGCGGTATGGGAAACTGTTAAGAAGGGTATCATGACCAAGGTGGAGAAACTCAACCCAGTCTCCAAGAACTTGTTCTGGGGCGCTATGAGCGCCAAGAGCTTCATGATGAACAACTCGAGTTACCTTCCGCTCTCCAGCGTCGGCACCAATATTGTGGACAACGTTGTTTTCAAGAAGGTCGCCGAAGCCACCGGAGGCAAGCTCCGTATTTGCATGAACGGAGGCGGACCGGTCGCCAAGGAGACTCAGCGCTTCATCTCCATGTGCATCGCCCCGATGATTTCTGGCTACGGCTTGACCGAAACTGCAGCCATGGGCGCGCTCATGGATCCTCTGTCGTGGAACGATACCGCACTCGGCGAGATCCCAGGCTCCGTCGAAGTCAAGCTTGTGGACTTCCCAGACGCAGGCTACTTTGCCAAGAACAACCCACCTCAGGGTGAGATCTGGATTCGTGGCGCGTCCGTCACTTCCGGATACCTCGACCTTCCGAAGGAGACGGAAGAGTCTTTCACGAGCGACGGCTGGTTCAAGACTGGTGACATTGGCGAGTTCGACAGCTACGGACAGCTCAAGATCATCGATCGCAAGAAGAACTTGGTCAAGACGCTCAATGGTGAATACATTGCACTGGAAAAGCTGGAATCTGTCTACCGATCCACAAAGATCGTCCAGAACATCTGTGTCTATGCTGCGCAGGACAAGAATAAGCCAATTGCTATCGTTGTCCCAGCCGAGCCCGCTCTGAAGCAGCTCGCCAGCGACAATGGCATCGAGGGCAACGGCCTGGAAGATCTCTGCCACAACAAGAAGATCAACAACCTCGTCCTGAAGGCTATGCAGGACACTGGCAGGAAGCAAGGTCTGGCCGGAATTGAGATCATTGAGGGTGTTGTTCTCGCAGATGAGGAGTGGACCCCACAGAATGTGAGTTCTCCCAAACACTACCAATTTATGAATATGCACTAACTCTTGTCCAGCAACTCGTCACTTCCGCCCAGAAGCTCAACCGCAAGGGCATCATGGAGAAGTATCAGAAGGAGATCAAGCAGGCGTACGGCTCTTAGGCTGTGTGCCCAACGATCGATCTCAAAACGAACATATGATACCCAGCCTGAAGTATACGCGCCTTGCGATGACGATGCGACGATGAGAAAACCACATTTGATGAGTGTGCTGCACGATCGGAACATTCGAGATGAAGAACACTTTTGAAACACTCTCGGGGGCTTGACTTTGAATTGAGGCGTTTGTGCTCAGGCAAGCTTTGTACTGTGTAATTATGGATTTTTAACCTTTTGATTGTTGAAGCGGAAGATGAAATTTTATGATTGAGGTGTTTTCTGACTTCACGAATTGCTTCCTTCTCAACTATTCCGACCTTCACGCAACCTATCTCCTTCCAGCTATGGGTAGTTCTACATGTGTTCGGCATGGTCGCAATGTTCACTTTGAGCTGAATGTTGAAGCAGACCACATATCGCCAGACTAATCACTCTGCCTACGGTAATGCTTCGGGAAGACGGCGTAAAGCCGGCTTCTCACGCAACTTGTTGCACAGCAGCCCACTTTCACCCACCCTTCTCCATCCAGCATGATGTCAGGAACAAGTGAGCCATTTTGGGAGAGGCCTCCGTTCTCGCAAGCACTAATGCCAATGCCAATGTCATGCGGACTTCAAATTTGTAGGATGAAGATGGCTTGGAACACAGTTCAATCACTATTTAACCTTGACTCTCACCTTGAAATATCCCCCATTCGTTAGATCGTTGTTTATATTGCATTGAAGAATTGGTATAAGAAGAGTATGACTTCTGGCAAACCTGCAGGCGAAGCGAAAGAAGAACGTGTTTCGCAATGGATTCTCCCAAGCACGAGTCGAAGCATCCGATCTCTGGGGCTGGACCGAGATGCTACGCTGGGCTCTCTGGGGGAAAATGAAGTGCGCGTGAAGTTGTACGCTGCAGGGTTGAACTACAGAGACTTGATGATCGCCAAGGTGAGCATACCAGTGATGTTCAGGAACGCGTTGGAGTTGTGGAAGAATTGGGGCTGATTGACATATCTGCTGTGTGCAGGGCCTGGCTCCAGGACCAATTCGAGCACCACACGTTGTGCCTGGTTCAGACGGAGCAGGTATCGTCGAAGCAGTCGGATCGAACGTAAAGGATTTTCAGCCGGGCGATAAAGTCCTTACGCATTTGACTCCGCTTTTCGACCCCTCTGACGAGTCCTCCATGCCTGATATGAAAGCCATTTCTTCTGGCCTGGGCCACACTCTCGATGGAACTCTTCGCTCAAGAGGCAACTTTCCAGCTTCGGGTCTTTTCAAGATGCCTGCGAACTTGAGTTTCCTCGAAGCTTCGACTTTGACGTGTAGTGGGTTGACGGCTTACAATGCTCTCTTCGGACTGAAGGGGCGAGAGATCAAGCAAGGAGATTGGGTTATGATTCAGGGGACTGGAGGAGTGAGTATTGCTGCTTTGCAATTTGCTGTTGCTGTGGGGGCAAATGTTGTGGCCACGACGAGTAATGCTGAGAAGGGAAGACTGTTGAAAGAGTTGGGAGCGAGAGAAGTGGTCAATTACAGGGAATCAAGAGAGTGGGGTGGAGTGGTAAAGAGCTTTACACCAGGGGGCAGAGGATTTGATGTCGTGGTTGATGTGGGCGGGGACAGTACACTGGAGCAGTCGCTCGAAGCTGTGAGGACGGACGGAGTGGTGGCTTTGACGGGGTTACTCGGAGGTGCAGCTGAGCCGGTCAAGATGTTGGCTGCTTTGATGGCGGTGTGTACGGTGCGAGGGGTGTTGCTGGGCTCGAAGAAGCAGATGAGAGAATTGGTGCGGTTTGTGGAGGAGAAGAATCTGAAGCCAGTGCTGGACTTCAGGACTTGGGACTTGGATGAGGTGAAGAGAGCGTATGACTGGCTGGAGAACCAGAAGCACTTCTCCAAGGTCGTCATTCACATCGAGTAGTCGATGACGGTGGTGCGTACATGTAACGAAGAGTATACCGGCACCGTCCCTCTCATCAATTCTCCATGAAATGGCAGCACAGATATCGACGTGCATGATGGAGTGTTCGGGTCATGCAAGCCGACACCCACGATCGCCATGGCAACGGGCGTTTCAAACCGGGCACACTGCGGCCTCAGCGCGGCCCCTTGAGGATAATTGGTGCTTCTGTTCACTGACCGACGTCCCTTGCTTCGGCGCAGCACTCCCACCATCACACTGTGTCACGACTGGACAGAGCACGAAGAAAGAGCACGTTCTTGCAGCAAACAAATTAGGAAAGCTACAATGGTACGTCGTCCCTTCTCCTCTCGCTGAGGACCCTTGGCGGCAACACCGCGCTCCGTCCTGGTTGGACAGACTCAAGGGGACCGCCAACAACAACAACTCCACAAGCGACTTGCGCGGCTGTTCTGCTGTCTGTGCAACATCAGTCTCCCACTTTTCTGCTGTTTCGCAAACACATCCCGCATACACACACAAACACCTACACAACTCTCTGCGCATACCAGATCAGATCAGCCCCAACTAACGCGACAACCATGTCCGACCAGGCGCAATCCACCAACTTCAAAGAAGCCTTCTCCCTCTTCGACAAGCGCGGCACCGGACGCGTCCAAATCGACTCTCTCGGTGACCTCCTCCGCGCGTGCGGCCAAAATCCCACTCTCGCTGAAATCAAAGATCTCGAGCACTCAGTCGGCGGAGACTGTACGTTCCTCCTTCCTCTCCCTCCTTCTTCGCGCTCTTCCAACTAACACGTTTTCCTCTGCTACGCTAGTCGACTTCGATGCTTTCACGCGTGTGCTCAACCGCCCCGGCGGCTTCCGCGACCCCGGCGAACCCGAAGAATACTGCCGCGGCTTCCAAGTCTTCGACAAAGACCTCACAGGCTTCATCGGCGTGGGACAATTCCGATACATTTTGACGAATCTGGGCGAGAAGATGAGCGATGATGAGGTGGATGAACTCTTGAAGGCAGTGGATACGAGTTCGGGAGAGCTGAATTATGTGGATATGGTGAAGATGATTCTGCAGAATTAGATGCTGTGGTGGGGCAGAGGAGTTGGTCGAACGGAACTGCGTAGCGCGGTGTTCTGTGTGCATGCATTATGAGCCAGGAATTGGTGAATTGGGCGTTTTTGTTTACTGGGGAAATATGGGCCGGGAATTGTTGTTACAGACATGGAGAGGATGCGAAATATGAAATGCCAGAGTCTGGAGCAGGCTATGACGGGTCTGGGCTGAATACGATGAGATCGGCTGGTACGGGTAGAGACGACAGCCTGTTCAAAAGAGCAATTGAGATCTGTATGCCTGTTCTGCAGAGCTGTTCACTATTCTTGCGCCAATTCTTTGCGTGTAATGGTTCATCACTCTCCCTCGCTTTTCATCGCTATCAGATCGCGCGAATGGTTCACTCGTCCTGGACAAATTTTGTCATGGGCTTGTCATCCGAATCCAAAGCGTCCCAGTTCCAGATCACCATTCTCTTTCGCTCCTGCGTCTCCTTCTCCTCCACTTTCTCCTTCTTGTTTCTTCCACCACCGCCTTTCTGTCCCTGTCCCACCACCGTGGCTCCCTGCGCAGCCTGTTCCTGCTTCTGTGGCTGCTTTGGCCTCACTGGCGTCATGGTCGTTCCTTGTCCGTAGCCCAGTGCTTCTTCTGTCTCCATTGGGTGTTCATTTTGATGTTTTTGAGTGGTGCGATAAGCTTGCAATTGAGATCTGGGGAGCAACAGTCAGCGTGTGAAGAGGGAGGGCGTTATAGTACACATACTTCGCTACCTTCAACTCTTCAGTCAATTTCGTGATTCTTTGAGTGAGAGAGGCTACTGTTTGACCTGATGCAGTGTCGAATTTAGGTGCCGGTCCGGGAGGGAATTGACGTTTGGTGTTTTGATGCTCGAGTTCGAATATGTGTGTCCATTCGGGATCATGGAGAAACCTGTACTCGGGTTTCAGTGGATCGCGAAGAATATCATCGTCAGGAAGGTGGATCTTGTGGGATAGATGATTGGCACGAAGGTCGTCATTGAGATCCTCTTCATTTCTTTTCTCCGGTTCCTCATCTTCTGGGCCAGCTCTTCTCTTGTCCTCCTTGGGTTTGTCCTCGGATTGCTTAGATTCTTCCTTGCTTTCGTCTTCTTCGGCACCGCCCATAGCCAGAGGATTGGTGGGATCTAGTTTACGAAGTTGACCCTTGGCTGGTCGCAATTCGGCTTCAATTTGTTCGACTTGCTTGGTCAGAGGAGCGATCAGCTTGACTAGTTCCGTTGGTGGTATGGTGCCAACCGCAGAAGATGAAGAACCTGTTTGGGTGACAGAACCAGTCGACGAGGACGCTGTTTCGATGGCTGGACCAGAAGACGAGGAAGCTGTTGACGTGACTGAGCCAGTTGCGTGAACCGTTGAGGTAACTGAGCCAGTAGCATAGCCTGTCGAGGTGGCTGAGCCAGAGGCATAAGGAGGCGAAGGAGGCTTCTCATCATCGTCCTTTGCTACATTTCTTTTGCCTTTGTGACCGTGTACGGCCTCTTCCCGCTTCTGTTGCTGTGCAGGTTGCTCGGTGGCATGAATGATTTCGGCCCGGGATAATGTGCCGTGGCCGCCACAGTATGGGGTAACATAGTTGCCTTTAGCTAGTAGTGTCCACTGCGGGCATTTGCCTTTCACTATACTAGCGACAACAAGAGTGTAGTCCTAGAGCAGCGAGATCAGCATTGAGGATGTCAAATGACATGGCAATACAATACCTCTTGGTGCGATGGATCTGGCAACCACGCTGTGCAGGTTGGCCAGAACGTATTCTTATGACCCTCTGTGGCTTCCCAAGTTCCGCATCGTTTGCCCTTGGCTTCTTCAGTGGCAGTGTCGACGTAGATCAGTGTCGGTTGCGCGTTAGGATCTATAGGGTGACCAGGAGGTTTCTGTGCTTTGGGGATTGCTGTGGCACTGGCCAGGCTGACGAGCCCGCATGCGATGATAGAAGACTTCATGATGGACGATGAAGGCGTTGGTCTGAAGGAGTTGCAGAGCACAAGCGACAGGTAGGAATATCTCACGAAATAGCGGCCTGTTCGGAATGCTCGGAGCTCTTCATCATCATGGCGATGTTGAATTCGAATTGACGAGCTCGAAAGTGGGATGCTGTAGTTGTTTTCTGGTAGCGTATGAAGCATAATCCACGGCGTTGTGGAGAGGGCAACGTTTGCTGCTTACCTGCTGTTCCAATGGTCGTGGAGAAAGAGAGCATGTTACGTTCTCCATTAGGTGTACGGCGTTTCAGTAGATGTGGTCGCATACTCGGGAGCTGGAATAACGTTGAATGCGATCATGTGCAGAAGTTTGACTGCAACAATGCTTGGATTCGTATGCGGCGTGTGTCCTCGTTTGTCGTCTTATGCTCGTATGTGCTTCATCATCATTCTGCACAACTTACAGTTCTCCCTTCAAACTTCCCGGCCCTTCCTTGACGATCCTATCATCACGATACATGCCCCTCTCTTCATCTCTTGCGATCTCCTCTCTCAACCACACCGCTTCCTTCTCCATCTCTTCCTTCGTCCGCGGCTTCCTCTCCTCATCTTTCGCCCACTCGCCAGCCTGTCTCTGCTCGGCTTCTTTCTGATGTCCTCCAACATTGCCTTCTTCTCCCTCCAACCACTCGTGCACCTTATCTCCCTCTCCAGGGTCGCCTTTCACTCTCGGTATCACGTGGCAATGCACATGTGGTACACTCTGACCCGCGGCCGCACCATCTTGCACAGCAATGTTGAACGCTTCGGCTTTGTAGATTCGCTTGAGCGTGTGCTGTATGCGAGTCACGGTGTTGAAGAGGTCGCTTATTTCTTCGGATGTCAGGTCTGAGAGATGGGGTTTGACGCGTAGAGGCGAGACCAGAATGTGGCCTGGTAGTAAGGGCTTGAGATTGACAATCGCGAAGGAGAGTGGTGTGATATGGAAGACCTGGCAGAAGGGAATACTTAGCTTGGGTTCGCGATTTTGCTACAGGAAATTGACGGCTGTACTTGAGACGTGACGTTGAACGTAGCAAAGTGAATGACTCGCCCAGCCCTCCCTGGAAGAGCCATTTCGGATGGGTCTTGCTTGCTCATGGGAATGACAATATCTTGAAGTCGACGAGTGTATGATTTGCAATGTTGGGTCGAAAGGCAGAAGTTGGATTCGCCTCGGCTGAACATTCAGACGCGTGAACGTCATTGGGATCGCGCCATCATGGTCCAGCTCTCCTTTCCAACCTACATGTGCATTACAATCTACACATACATACGATAATAGTGATCATGGCCTCAAAAGCGATAGATATGCGCAAAGCAGCAGCAAAATTCTTCACAGCCTCCCATTTCGCTGTAGCAGGCGCCTCTTCCAACCCCCAGAAATTCGGCCATCGCATATTCGCCTGGTATCTTCCCCGAGAGCTCTCAGCAATTCCCCTAAATCCGACAACACCTTCTATATCAGTACGCGGGAAAGATTACGATACTGTAGCATCGCCTTCGAAAGTCTCAGATCCCAAGCATACGAGCCTCAGTGTCATCACTCCTCCGCCCGTTACTGCGAAGCTATTGCAAGAAGCCAAGGAAGCTGGGATACTTGCGGTATGGCTACAGCCCGGGAGTTTTACGGATAAAGAGCTCGAATATGCGATTGAGAATTGGCCTGATGCTGCTGTGGGTGGGTTTGCAGATGGGACTGTAGGAGGGGAGGGCTGGTGTGTGCTCGTAGATGGAGATGCTTCTCTTGAAGCTTCTAAGAGCTTGCAGAGCAAGCAAACGACCAGCAATGGCGTCAATAAACCGAAACGGCAAGTATCTCGGAACTTGAGAGGAATTGATGCAAGCAGGACTGATCGTTGCAGTGCAGGACATCTCGTCTCTAAGCGGCCAAGCAAGCACGAGCCTGTTGTGGGCAGGAAAGCGAGAGTCAAGAAACATGTACTGGACCGTATTGGGAGAACAGAGAATATCAAGTTGAGGCAAATATTAGCAAATCTGGAAGGCTAGGAGGGTATCAGGCGCATATGCGAGCCCACACAAACTACACGTATCTCGCGCGTGCCCGGGCTAGTGTGTGCGGATGCCGATGCGATGATTGACAAAAAACCTGGATTTACCGCAACGATATCTGGAGAAGCTCAAGGTGCGGCTGGAGTCTACACACCAATGAGCAGCAGTGCTGGCGTTCTACAGGGCCTCGACTGGTCGGTATTGAGCAGCGTTACTGATATCTCGAACTGAAAGGGGTTCGGTGAAGGACCGCGATCGCATGCAGCAGGTCGGACTCAATTACTTTGAAGAGTCGTCTAGGACGGGCTTTCCTGCGAATAGCAGGAGTGGTGCTGAGACGCAGTTGGCATGCCCGTCTTCCTGGAGTACGAAAGTCACGCGCTCGGAAATTCAAGGCAGGCCACGCTTTATCATTATGCTGCATTTCATCTACGGCCTCTGGCAATACACTCTTGGCCTCGCACATGATGAATCTTGGATGTTCGCTGCGATCGAAGGCTCGAGGTCCGCTTTGTGCTTTCGAGGAAGTTGAGAGCACGGCCGCCTTCTACCTCTGCGGCTTGAGAATTTGAATGTTGAACTTCGATGCACCGTTTTGTCGAGCATCACTTTGCAATTGGCGGATGATCGGAAATCGACCCCGCGAAGAAGATGGCTAGATTCTGTGGATGATGGCGCACGATCTCGCAGAGTATTGTGAAATCACAGACCAGCAATATACATCACGCTCTCATCCTCCCTGTGCAACCCCAAATCGAGCGTCTGGATCTACACTTCAACAAATAAGTCGCGATCTTACAAATAGATGCTTGTACATGGACCGATATGCTTGCAGCGATGCGAAGTGGACAGAATTGTCCTGAGGGCAAACACTCGGAGCGCCTATATGTTGCAGTAGTGACTCTTGGCGGTGGCGGTGGCTCAGGTCAGCAGATGCTGCCTGTCCGAGCTGCAGTACCTGGCGGCTGTTCCCCGAATCCTGCGAGGCTGTGAAAGCCTCGACGACACATTCACGCGCAGAAGGGCCCTTCAATCTGTCTCCGGATATTGTACTAACTGATGCGATTCTCCTTGCGACGGCCAGCTGTCGGAGCGCGCTAGTCCTTCAAATATGCACCTCCTGAGTTTTGACAAGAGCGGTGAGCTCAGACTGACAAAGCCTTCCGAGGATAAACATCCTCCATACGCGATACTCTCACATACTTGGGGTGACGAAGATGCTGAGCTTACGTTTAAAGACGTTCAGGATGGCCTTGGCAAGAGCAAGGCTGGCTTCCAGAAAGTCATATTCTGTGGTCAACAAGCTCAGAAAGACGATCTTTTAGATTTCTGGGTCGACTCGTGCTGTATCAACAGATCTGACTCCAGTGAGCTATCAGAGTCGATCATCTCGATGTTCCGTTGGTACAAACAAGCGGCCAAATGCTACGTTTATCTGTCAGACGTCACGGCTCTAAAGCGTGGCAACAATGGCGACACCGCCTGCAATTGGCAAGACGCTTTTCGCAAGAGCAGATGGTACACCCGTGGCTGTAAGAGTCTTCAGAGCACTCACTATAGATCTTGTTGACTCTATATTAGGGACACTACAAGAGCTGCTTGCTCCAAACGAAGTTGAATTTTGGTCGAGAGACGGTCAACTTCTCGGGACTAAGCAAACACTCAAGGACCTTATATACGAAATCACAAAAATACCAGCCCCCGCACTGTGCGGAACTTCGCTGTCTGACTTTTCAGTCAACGAACGACATCGATGGGCTGCAAAGCGTGACACTACAAGAAAGGAAGACAAGGCGTATTGCTTACTTGGCATATTTGACGTCTTTATGCCTCCAATGTATGGCGAAGGGGATAATGCGTCCCAGCGACTCCAAGACAACATCAAACTCCGTTTTGGTGACGTCCGATCTGGTAGCGGCAATCAGACGGGCTCAAATTACGAGGATTCAGAGGACCACCGAGAGTCAGTGCTGGCCTCATTGCGATTCGAGCAAATGGACACACGGCGATCTACTGTCAAGAATGCACAACAAAAAACGTGTGCGTGGATGGTGCAACACCCTGCTTATGTTGCCTGGCGACTCAAAAAAGGCTGCTCGGAAGATCAGAGAACACTATGGATCGCAGGAAAGCCAGGCGCTGGCAAATCAACCATCATGAAGTATTTGTACGACAATACTAACCAAAGCAAACACGATGACGAGATCGTTATATCATTCTTCTTCAACGCACGTGGAGATCAACTGGAGAGGACAACAGTGGGGATGTACCGCGCTTTGCTGGCTCAAATCTTGGTAGAAGTTCAGGATCTGCAGAACCTGCTCGATGAACAGGACCCTTCCAGCGAGTGGACTACCGAAGCGTTGAAGCGCATCTTCGCTGACGCTATCAATGGTCTTGGCGGCAGGCGTCTTACATGCTTCATCGACGCGCTTGACGAATGCGACGAACAGCAGATCCGAGATATGGTCGAATTCTTCGACGATGTTCAAGACAGTACACAGGGAGATTCTAAGAGACTCTTTATATGTTTTGCCAGCCGCCACTATCCGACGATTGAGATACGCAGCGGTCAGCGCCTGGTCCTAGAAGATGAAGATGGGCATTCCGAGGATTTGTGGAAATATATCAGACGCCGCCTGAGAGCTGGAAAGGGTAAATTGGTGGATGACATTAAAGCACAGGTGCACGAGAAGGCGAATGGGGTATTCGTGTGGGTGGTCCTGGTTATCAACATCTTGAATGACGAATTCAGCAGAGGCCGCATCTTCGCCGTGAAGCAAAGATTAAAGGAGATACCCGGCGACCTGAGCGCGCTCTTCCGGGATCTTCTCCGGCGCGACAGTGCGAATATGGACGACCTGTTACTTTGTATCCAGTGGGTTTTATTTGCGCGACGGCCACTAAGGATGCAGGAGTTCTACTTCGCTATGGTTGCTGGACTGAATCCTGAACGAGCATCGGAACCCTGGAATCAAGACGAAGTCACAAGTTACCACATGACACGTTTCGTTCAAAGCTCTTCTAAAGGATTGGCGGAAGTCACCAAATCCAAGACGGCGCCGCAGGTACAATTCATTCATGAGTCTGTGAATGACTTTCTTTTGACAGACGGCGGCTTGCAAGAACTTTGGCCAGATTTGGGCAACGGCGAGAGATCTCGTTCCATCAGCCATGAGCGGCTTAAAAATTGCTGTCTGCACCAAGTCGCTGCCGACTTTTCAAGTTCCACCTCGATGAGCTTCGCAGAACCGCTTCCAAAGGCCAAATCCGAAGAAGACAAGAGATTGCGTGAAGAAATGTCAGCAGTCTTTCCATTCGTCGCTTATGCGAGCAGCGGAATACTATATCATGCCAACGAAGCAGCCCGCGCTATCGCAGAGGAAACTTTTTTGCTAGACTTTCCGCTCGACAGATGGGTCTACCTGAGCAATCTCTACACGAGTCACCAAATTCGTCGGCACTCGTCAAACGTCGCGCTGCTTTACGTCCTTGCAGAGAATGGTCTGCACCGCCTGATTCGAGCGATTCCATTTCCCTATGGTTTCGAGCGACTACCGCTCGAGAAGTACCAGTACTCGCTCATGGCTGCATACTGCAATGGTCACAAGAACGCTTTCTTTACACTTTTAGGCATCACAGGGAATTCATGCGCACCTGCGATCGAGAGTGACCCGGGATTCGGGAAAGCATCTCAGATTTCCAAGACTGTAGATTTATTGTTGTGGGCTACCGATCACAGAAACTGGGTTCTCGCTGAATGTCTACTGATTTGTGGCCATCAATCTGAACCTGTTGCAGATCCACTTCAACGGAAGCAAGATGGTAACGATGCACTCTCTCTTGCAGCACGCTATGGCAAGATCAACATCGTTGGACCCTTGTTCCAATATATGTTGGAAGCTTCCGCACCGAGACGTGCTGAAATAAGACCTGAATACTTGGTCTGTGCCTGTGAAGGAGGCCATATGAGGACCGCACAGCTGCTACTAGAACAGGGCGCTTCCATCAATGCCGAGTGCAGCGAGCGTCAATGTCTTTCCAAATACCGTACCGCGCTCGAAGCTGCATTAGCTGAAGAACATGAAAACCTTGTAAGGCTTTTGATTGACCGCGGTATAAGCGTGGTAGCTCAGCAGTCTGCTCTTGCAAACGCTTCTCGGAAGGGGCGGGTCGGAGCGGTCGAAATTCTCCTTCGACAGAGTGCAAAGGTCGATCGAGGATCGTTGTGCAGCGCCCTCTGGGCTGCATCCGCAGGCGGCCATCAGAAAGTGTTTGAGATTCTTCTCGAATGTGGCGCTGATGTCTCTCCGCCAATCGACGGCCCTTTTAGACTGGCCCTTGAGCAAGCTTCTGCCCCGGGACATGACCACATAGTAGAGCGACTTCTCGACAGAAGCAAAGATGTGGCTATCGAGCAATTCAAGACTTCCTACGGCACCGCACTGACGGATGCTTGCAGAAGAGGGTTCGAGCATATAATGGGATTTCTGCTTCTGAGCGTTGCAGATGCGAATGCACGAAGCGTGAAGGATGAAAATGCTCTTAAGACTGCATGCTACAAAGGCTACGAAAAGATGGTGCAGCCTCTTATCGCTCATGACGCCGACGTGAATGCTCGAAGCGAACTGGGCAGCACTGCCCTAGGAACTGCATGCTACGAAGGCTTCGAAAGGATAGTGCAGCTTCTGCTCGACTATGGAGCCGACGTGTATGCTCCAAGCGGCAAAGAGGGCACTCCGCTCGAGGCTGCATGCTATAACGGCCACCAGACGGTAGTGCAGCTTCTGCTCGACCATGACGACAATGTGTACACTGCGCACAAAGACCATAGTCATGCGCTCTTGTATGCATGCCGCAATGGCCACGTGGCGGTGGTACGGCTTTTACTGCATCATGGCGCCGCAGCGAATGCTCCACACGAGATTCGTCCCCTTATAGAAGCATGCGGTCGAGGCCACGAGGTGGTTGTAAGGCTCCTCCTGGATCATGGCGCTGATGCGAATGCTCGACACGAGACTCACGGCAATGCACTTATCACAGCGTGCATTATGGGCTATAAAGCGATCGTACGGCTCCTACTCGACCATGGCGCCGATGCCAATACGCAACACAAGATTCACGGCAGTGCCCTTACTTCTGCGTGCGTCAATGGGCACGAGGCGGTTGTGCGGCTCCTACTCGACTATAATGCCGATGCGCATGCTCAAAACGAGGTTCATGGCAGTCCGCTTATAGCGGCGTGTATCAACGGCAATGAGGCTGTAGCACGGCTGCTGCTCGACCATGACGCCGATGTGAATGCACGAAACGAGATTCATGGCAACCCGCTTATAGCGGCGTGTATCAATGGCAATGAGGCGGTAGCACGGCTGCTGCTCGACTACGGCGCCGATATCAACGCCGAAAAGTGGGTGCGCGGTAATGCACTTATGGGTGCATGCGAGAAAGGCCGAGAGGCGGTTGTACGGCTCCTACTTGACCATGGCGCTGACGCGAATGCTCAAAACGAGAGTTATGGGCCTGCGCTTACAGCAGCGTGTGTCAATGGCTATGAGGCGGTAGCACGGCTGCCGCTCGACCACGGCGCCGATATCAACGCCGAAAACTTGCTGTATGGTAATGCGCTTATGGGTGCATGCGAGAAAGGCTGTGAGGCGGTTGTGCGGCTCCTGCTCGATTACGGCGCCGATGTCAATGCTAGCCATCTATTCTTCGGCACTGCCCTAGATATTGCCAAGTCAACTGTACCGAGCAAGAGGGAGGCGATAGTACAGTTGCTACGTGACAGTGGCGCCATTGACTGGGATCCTCTGGGTTAGGATTCCTTCTGCGGTCTGCGGGACGTATATCTGGCCCAATGCTGAGCGCGGAATGACGGTTGAGATCCTGGCGTGGTGCGTTGGTGTCTCTGTCGTCTAGAGGAAGCGGTTCGGACCATTGAAAAATAGTCTCTATGCATAGCTTGGACGCCGGCATTGGATGCTGTACGACATCGCCACGTCGCAAACCCGTAGGCTCATATTAACACCCTAATTGGTAGGCACACAAAGATCCACTGGAAAGCAGACGCGAACGTAGACTGTCGGCGGAAAGTTTTACCAAGGCCCTCTGTTGTTACTCGATCCATGTATTGCCTCCCATAAGTACTAACACGAGCTATGATCGCAGTTGATGCCGAAACAGACTTCTCCCGACTGTAGCTGACCATTGCTGCTGCAATTTGCTACGTCTAACGCCAGACGATTAAGACAACAGCAGCCTGTCAGACGTAAGTCTCCCTCTGTTTCGCAGCAGGGATCGGCTCAGACCACTGAACTCGATGTCTGATATTCAACTCCACAGCAGTGGTAGCCTCCGGCAGATCGGCATCATCTAAAGTCCCCACTTGAAGCACTAAAGTACTCAGCGCTGACGCTCCCTTGGACGCATGTACCTGAGCGTACATCGGCTTTCCACACTCCAGGCAGAACGACAAAGAATATTCGAATGCCTCTGGATGCTTGGCCCGAACTGTTTGAGTTCACAACTTGTCAAGTCGAAATTGGATGCTGCTACTGTAAGATTGACCGAGTAGGTGGAGCCAGAAATCTTACGGCAAGGAAGGCAATGACACAGTGAGGTCTAAATCGGCTGTCACTATTGCCTGTAACCGCCTGGCATATGACGGGATAGCAATAAAACCACATATCTGTGCGGCAGTCCCTTCGGCGCCTCAAGAAGCTCGCAGGTCAATCATCCGCACACGTAGCTGCCACGAAGAGTAGCCATGTTCGATGGTGTTGGCAAGCCGGATGCCTTGATTTAGCCGTTGTATTTCGGTTGAACGTAGGTTTAGTTTTACTGGCCGAGCTCAGAGAATTTGTTGTTGATGGCCAGTTCTATTGATCAAAGCGTATAGAAGGCAGCAAGTCTGTCCATCGTTGGTATCAGCTTTCGCTTCTTCGGGAGTCGGGCGGACTCAAGGTGAGGATTGTGAAGTATATGGATATGGTTGTTGAACTGTGCCTTGAACTGCACGAGCCTTGACATGCTGCCACAGAAATGGGCGCAGATTGAGGACACGAACCCAGTCCGGCCATTTCGTGCCGTCCATAAGTCTTGGTATTTGCTTCTACCGAATCTTGTACAAGCACGGCTTCAGCGTCTTCGCCTCATCATCAGTCGCCACGTCCTCTTCCTGCTTAGCATCATCATCCAAAAATTTCGCTTTCTTGAATCTGGGCTTTTCCACCTTCTTCTCGTCTTCCGTCTTATTCTTGCCCTTCGTGGCTGCAGCACCTTTGACAAACTCCATCTTGACGAACATCTTGTTGCTCAAATCGATAGAGCTATCTCCATTCTTGAGGATAAATCCACGCCGTCTAAGCACTTCAACGAAAGACGATACGTCCGTTTCTTGGTTTGTTGGAGCATTTTCAGCGCCGTCCACAACTACCGCGAGCGTTTCCTGCTCATGAGCCTCCTCTTGCTCGGCATCAGCTTTTGCTTTCTTCTTCTGCAGAGCAGCTTGCTTCCTCTTCCCGCCCACGCTGTGCTCAACGACTTTACTCTTCCCAACGCGACCAAAACGAGACTTGATCTCAGCAATCCAAAGCTCGCCTTTCCAGTGGAGAATTCTGTATGCTTCTTCAATGAACGAGATCCAATTGGTTCCCATCAGCGCCAAGCAGAAAATGGCGATGTCAACGCTGCCATCATCGGCGGGCAAGTTCGCAATATCTGCCTTTGTCACAAGTGGACTCGGGGAGTGCAGATCGTAAGATAGGATTCGCAAATTCAGTTTCGTCATGTCTCCAGAATCCGTAAGCGTCTGCGCAAGACGCGCATCACCACAGCCAAGATCTGCGATGATACTTGTGCCCTGCGTTCGTGGAAGTGCCGCAACTCTCCCTTCACTCTCAGCCTTCAGGCGGTCGGCGACATCTGTATGCTTCCGCTTCCCATCCTTCTGGAAAGCTTTTTTCTGTGAAGGCAGGCGCACAGCTCCTCGCGATCGTATTGTGGCGATGAAATTGTCAACAGGATTCGAAGGCCATGTCGTTACTTGCTGACGGAATCCGGAGTGATAGTCTTCGAACATTTCCGGGTTCTGATCGAACAATTCGAGTGCCTTTGCGGACGGCTCCGTGTAGAGTTTCTCGTTGAGATGACGGAATCGAGCAGAAATGAGTTTTTGACGCATAGCAGCTTGCATGGGCGTGAGCTTCATTCCAGCAGGAAGGGCAGGTGGTGGTGCTGGAACTGCTGCTCCATTTGCTGTTGCTGGACCAGAGGTGCCGGCCACGCCATTCTGCTTTTCCTTCTTCCTATCCCGACTGCGCTTCTTCGCCTTCTTAGTCTCTGTGCCAGCCTCCGTCGATGCCTTGTCTACCTCTGCACCTGGTTTTTCCTCATCCTTCGCCTTGGACTTGTCTTTTGCGCCAGGCTGCGCTTGGTCTCCAGTCTTGTCCGAAGTCTTTCCCTTCTTAGCTTTCTTCGGTGTCTTCCCTTCGATGTGCTTCTCCCACTGCTCGCCTAGCTGTGCGTCCGCCTTCTTAGACTTCTCCTCTTCTGCTTCCTCTCTCTTGCGCTTTCTGCTCTGCTTGTCGCCATCTTCCTGAGCCGCAGCAGCCTCCTTACTTGCGGCCTTCTTGCCCTTGAACACCTCCGTCTGTGGCTTCAGCGTCGAAGCGTCGACATTCCATCCTTTTACCGCGAACATTGTAGGTTATGCTCTTTCATCTCGAGCTTCTCGAGAAATTCTGAAGTCGAGCTTCGCCGAATGCTGAGTCAGCGAACTTTTTTGTGGGGCTGCGACGAGACGACAGGCATCACATCACGCTCCGACACACACGTTTCAAGATGCTTCGTCGTCTGCAACGTTTATCGATGGACAAACATCGGTGGCCCACTTGATGAGCACGCGGATTGAAGGCTGTTCTGCTGATGATCCATTCAGATCCATCAAGCTTGACCGCCCCTCTCCAACGTGACGCGCCAGCTCTTCGCAGGAGAGCAGCATTGAGACATGCGCAAGAGTCTCTCTAAACTTGTCAAAGAAGTCAAACGACCTCAAAGCTCGTCAACCTATCCTGCGTATACGCCTCCCGCGCCTATTGTGCCTCCTTCTATTCCTCCAAGACCAGCCAGAATGGCCACTGTTCCGACAGATTATCCTCGTCCAGACTTTGTCCGCAGTACTCTGCGTTGGGAGAGTCTCAATGGCCCGTGGGACTTCTTGTATGATGATCTTGATGAAGGCCATCTGAAGTCCTTCGCCACACAAGGCTTGCCATCCCATGCTTCCGCAGAAGGAAAGCCGAATGCAAAGAGGACAATCCAGGTGCCCTTTGTTTTCCAAGCTCCGGCTTCTGGTATCCATGAAAAGGGCGTACACCAAGTGCTATGGTACGAGAGGAGGATTGAGGATCTGCGCAGCGCTGAAGAGAAGAGCAATGGCTTCCGGCTGTTGCTTCGCTTTGGTGCAGTTGACTATCATGCCATAGTCTGGCTTGATGGACATTCTGTAGGAGAGCATTCCGGAGGTCATGTTCAGTTTGACCTCGACCTCACCGAAGCGGTTGCGCAGTCGAACGCCTCTTCCCACAGGTTGACAGTAAGAGTCTTTGACTCGGCGTATGGTATGTCGCCGTTAACACGACAGCTGTGCATGCGGTCCCTAGCACAGGCTACCTGATTTCGTGGTCCATACATGTTTTCGTGTGACTCTGACTAAACATTCGCAGATCTAACACAACCTCGCGGAAAGCAATACTGGGGACCCGAGCCAGAAAGCATATTCTACACGCCCTCTAGCGGTATCTGGCAATCTGTCTGGCTAGAGAGCGTGCCACCAGCGCGCATAGTCGACAGCAGCTATGGCAGCATTCTCAAATCTACCAGGATTGATGCTGGAGTTCTCGATGCTCGTGTCTGCGTCTCTGGCAGACGCGTGGGCCAGAATTTATCAGTTGAGGTCGAGAGCAGCATTGGCGGCGTGGTTGTCGGAGTTGGCCGCAAAGAACTCCCGCGGGATGAGGACTTCGTGCGACTTGATCATCTGAACATGAGGTTGTCAGATGAGCACTTCCAGAAGCTGCCTCCGGAGTTTAGCAGAGCAGCTCCTCTCACAGACTTCCGCTGTTGGCGTGGGGGCGTGGCACTCTGGTCACCACAATGTCCTTTGCTGTACGATATTACCTTGCGTCTGCTGGATCAGAGTGGCAGACTTCTCGATGAAGTGAGAACAACGGCTGGAATGCGATCCTTGAGCTGGAACAATGGCGATGGTACATTCCGACTCAATGGTCGGCCACTCTTCCAGTCTTTGTTGCTGGACCAAGGTTACTGGCCAGAGACTCTCATGACACCACCTTCATCAGAAGCTCTGAAGCGAGACATCGAGCTTAGCAAAGCCATGGGCTTCAACGGCTGCAGGAAACACCAAAAGGTCGAAGACCCTGTGTCAGTCCTCTCCACCACCTCCTATCACTCAGAAACATGACTAATGCTCATACAGATTCTTCTACTGGGCCGACCGCCTCGGCTTCCTCGTCTGGGGCGAAATGGCCAGCTGCTACAATTTCAGCGTAGACATGATGCACCGCTTCGATCAAGAATGGATGGAAATGGTCCGTCGAGACATTAACCACCCATCTCTCATCACCTGGACACCCGTGAATGAAAGCTGGGGATACCCTGATTTGGGCGGAAACGTTCGACAACGAGATCATATTCGCAGTCTATACTACAACACCAAGGCCTATGATTATACCCGCCCGATTAATGACAATTGCGGCTGGGAACATGTCAAAACTGATATTTCGAGTTTTCACGATTACGCTGATGCAAACGGCATGAGAGATCGTTGCGCGTCGCTGAGGGAGATCGTTGGTCGTGGAAGGTCGATGTTCTTGGGACCTATCTATGGCAAAGGTCAACGAATCTTGGATTCGGGCTCAGTTCATGAGACAGGCGCACCAGTCATGTGCACTGAATTCGGTGGAATAAATATCGCTGCATCCAACCACAGACCTGATCAGCAGCAGCCATTGTCTGGCAACACTTCCAAGGACGACAAACCTAAACGCCTCGAAGAACAAATCATGGGCGACGACAAGGAGCGCAAAGTCAACTGGGGTTACACAACAGCCAGTGATGCCAAAGATCTGCTGCGCAGAATTGACGATATGGTGACGAGTGTTGTGCAGCAAGGCCATGTTTGCGGGATCGTTTGGACGCAGTTCTCGGATATTGAGCAGGAACAGAATGGATTGTATACGTATGATCGTAGGGAGAAGTTTCCTGCTGCTGAGGTGAAGAAGGTCATGGAGAAAGCTGAGAGACGGTATCATGAGAAGCTGGCGGAGTTGTAGAATCTCGAAGACAGCCACGGCGAGGCATACAGACGCAGGAAAGCAAGACCACATCTGGCGCTTCGTTCCACAATTTGGTGAGGGCTCGCTAGAGAGCGTCTCCATTGAGTGCCAATTGCTATGTGTCCAACTTTCTCCTGACCAATCGCCTGACTTCTGCGCCAAGGCTCTGGATTACTATGCAATGCAATCTTTTTGCAATTCTTCCTTGCCGTGCCTCTTTCGATGGAACTTCTCCGCGGCGGAATATTTTCTTTCGATGTGTGTGCAAATCCACTCTCCAAGAAGTCGATCTCGTCTTGGAAATAGGGGTCACTGCTCCAGTCCGTGCATCATGATGAACGCAGTGCGCCAGGTTCCACTTCAGTGGATGCAGTCTTGCCGATATCCACAGTTCCTGCTGGGATCGGATATTGCATGCCCTCTTTGCGGGGTCGTCGCCGGTCGCTTCAAGCTCTCACGTCGCGAGATGCGCGCGCGAGGCGCGGTATACTTGGTACAACAATACCAGTTCGGAAGCCGAGGAACGCAACGACATTATTTAAACCTCGTCAGCAAGGCAACATACTTTTACCCTTGTGTGGCGTGACCTCTGAAAACAGTTCCCGTAGATGGGCTGCTTCGGCCTCTGTGTGTTATGGCTCGTGCATGCTCGGTGAAGTTCCAGACGTCGAACCGGTGCAGGTAACATGCGCAATCCATGCCCCTTCATGCAGAGCCATGGTGTCAATATAGACCTCACTTTGCGTGTAGAAGCATCTGTTCGTAGAGGTCATCCGGAATCTTGCGGACAAAATTGACAGTGTAGTCAATGACCTGCCTGGCTCTCAATGGCTTGAAGTCGGGTTTAGGCCTGCGATAATCAGCTTGGTGTATGGTGTGGGATCTGCAAACTTACGAAACGCTGTTCAAAAGAGATTCTCGTGCCAGCACGAGTTGCGAGACGATGCATAACAGGTTGAGATGAGGCCCATAGGCGAATAGAAAGTCCCATAGCTGAAGCACCTCGGGAAGCGGAGGCGTGCAAGCACAAAGTGTGAGCACGCTAGGGAATGCGTAAATCTCAGCCTTCATGCCCTTGGAGGCCATGTGAGATGCCAGCTTAGGATCGACAATAGCCAAAATCTGGTCGATCAGAGCAAGGCCTTTGTGTACGCCTTCCATGCTTCCGCGGACATAGCCAGGCACTTCATTTGTGATGAAGCGAGTAAAGGCGGCGAAAGCTTCTGCCTCGCTGCGCGCAGCATACAGGAATGGTGCTGCCATGACATTCATGCCCTGCACATAGCCGATATGCGTTTTGCTCGCATCGCCTATCTCACTGGCGTCGGTGACTGATGCCACCGAGCCTAGTGTATCTCGGGTACTGACTGAGCCTGGGGAGTGCGCTTCATTCCCATCGAGGCTCTTTGGGACGCCTAGGGTGGGTGGCGACATGTAGCCACTTCTTCGAGACTCGTCGGCATCGTTGAGTTTCCATGCCACGGCATTGAGCACGCGCGTGAGGCTGTTCTCAGTGACACGCCGGCGGAAGAGAGGGTCGGTGGTCAAAGTTCGAAAAGTATCGTTCCGGATCTTCGAATATGCGGGCGAGGCACCCAGTTTCACGAGGTCCAGGTAGCCGTCGGTATTCCAAGGCGGCGCGTTGAGGAGGATCAGCCATACGTAGATGCGCAGCTCGGACTGTCGACAACATTAATATGGGAGGTGTTTGAGGGGAAGATGCGCACATACCATGCCCTCGCTGTTGGCCGGTATGCCATCCAGCAGAATGACGCGCCGCAGCTCTTCCAAGCCCGCGACGTGATCGCCGCCGACGGGGCCCTGCTGGAGGAAGGCGTCGAGGTGCGTCATGCTCGCTGCGGTGCGGACGTGGTGGTCGCAGCAAGTGTGTTCGGACTTTGCCAATGGCAGCAGGGCAGGAAACGTGTGGTCGCGTGCGTGCGGGCTGGTCGTTGCGACGAAACGAGACGCGTAACTTAGGCCACGTGTGGGCGCGGGAAGAGAATACGCTTGACTCGGCGTCGTCCACCGTGGCTGGCGCACAGGCGCGCCTCCGCAACTTCAGGCAACTTCAGGCCCCTCCGCCATACACGACTGTCACTAGTTACTACATACCGACGAGAGCCTCCCGACTGCCAGCATCTCAACGATGGCTGCTACCAGCCTGGGAGATGCGCCAGCCCTGCGTACCTCCGACATGGTCAACTGTGCCCAGCATCTGACATTCGGGAAGCGGGCGTCAGCTCCTCTCACGCCTGTGCTACAGTATCGTTGTTGATCGTGGAGCCTACCGGTGCTACCATGCGGCCATGCCCATCTGGACGCACACTTCTCCCTGCGCCAGACTGTGTTCCAGACACGACGGTCGACCGGGGAATCTCATCTACGCACCAGATGCTCGGTGTCCTTTGCGATCCGGATGATCTCCCACGCGCAGCACCACCCTGGCATACGACGCCGATTTCAGACGCCACAGCGTCCTAGACTTCCAACTGCCTTCGTGTAGACAGGCTCTAGCTGGCTTGTCCTGGTACATCTCAGTCCTGCTCGTGGGTGAGATGGTTGTTGTTTGGTACATGCCACACACAGATGACCCACCCCGATCTTGTGGCTCGGCTCGTCGGCAAATCCTACCACTCATCGGGGTCAGTTACCTTACAATCAGCTCGATGATATTCCAACACCACACATGAAATGGTCGTTGATAATTACAAGACAGACGTGGCCAGGGCTTCGCAACGAGCATGCCACGCCCTGTCAAGATTTTGCCAGGAAGAGCTTCAACATGGCAAGGAATTGTGGCTGAAAGTCAAGGCATGGAATACAATCTTTTGTTCAAGTATCAGACCTTCGACTGCAGTTCGAGAACTAATAGGGCTTGCCCACGCCAACGGTGCCGAAATCTGCTTCAAGCAGCCCATCCGATCACGTCTTCATCCTCTGTCTTCATTGGATCTCCCGGGGCATCTCGCGGTCGCTTGGCGCACGTTGTGTGCATGGTCAGATCTGCCGACGGGGCGGTTCTTTCATCAGAAGCGCGGGCTCGTCGGATGGCGTGCTCTGAGCTAAACCGCGTTCACATTGCGACTCCATGAGAGACGCAAACGTGTGTAGTCGGACCCGCAACTGCGTAATATCCACGAGAAAATTGATTCTTGTCAGTCTTGGACGTTGAACAGGCAAAAAGTCTGCCTTCACAGCGCTCTCACTGCTGCGACCAGGCCTGGCTGTGAACATACAAAGCTCACGTACTGGCACCGTCGGGCTAGCATAACAAGCCCTACCAAGGTGCTTACACCCGCCCATTATTACGCCACCGACAGAACTGGACGCCGCACCAATCGAGGAACAGGCTCAGTGCCATCTCCCACGAAGAGTCCTCCCCCAAAGGACTGTACCTTGCGCTTCCACGCACTGTCGTGCTTCCGCAATCGGGAAGATCGTAGTTTTCGCCATCGCCTGGATCTATCACCTGCTCAAGCCCTGCGCCGGACGCACCAATACCCTTCTGTCCTTCGCGAGCTTGGATCTCGCAGGGTGTACATCTCCGGGAACGCATAATACTAGCGTCAGTCGGTCGAGGTCGGGCTAAGAGCGCCTGTGCAAAGACTAGCTCCCACGCGAAACTTTACCTCAAGCCATAAAACAGCGCCCTGGAGGCCCAGCATTCTTAGCATTCGCCCGTCGTCTCTTGACTTTCACTCACGATGGCTTCGACGAGTACCAAGATCGGCCATGGCTTGGCCAAGGTCCTGGGCATTAAACTGGACGACGGAACTCCAGGATCGAAACTCTCACGAGGAGAGTCAGTCTTCTCAGTTGAGAGTGCGGATTCGTACGTCGAACAAGAGCCTACGGCAGCAGAGTGGCTTCGCGATGTGATACCATCTGGCACGGACGTTCTACACTACTGCCACAACCTATTCCCCTTCACGAAATGGATCCTGCGCTATAACGCTCAGTGGTTGTATGGTGACCTGGTTGCTGGTATCACTGTCGGCGCAGTCGTCGTGCCACAGAGTATGGCGTACGCCCAACTGGCTCAGCTCCCTGTCGAATACGGTCTCTACTCATCCTTCATGGGTGTGCTTATCTACTGGTTTTTTGCGACTTCCAAGGACATCACTATCGGTGTAAGTACAGGGCGTTCATGCCAAAGATGAAGACGAGCTGACATTGCGCAGCCCGTAGCAGTCATGTCAACCATCGTCGGCAACATCGTCATCTCGGTCGCTAAGAAAGATCCCACGATTGAAGGACACGTCGTTGCCTCAGCCCTGGCCGTCATTGTCGGCGCCATAGTCTGCTTTCTCGGCCTCGCGCGTCTCGGATGGCTTGTTGAGTTCATCTCGCTCGCTTCGATCTCCGCTTTCATGACTGGTTCTGCCATCAATATCGCGGTCGGTCAAGTCCCGGCCTTGATGGGTATTTCGAGCAAGATCGTGAACAACCGGGACTCGACGTATCTGGTCGTTATCAACACCTTGAAGCACTTGGGTTCTTCGAAGCTCGACGCAGCGCTTGGGCTTACAGCACTTACAATGCTGTACCTCATTCGATCGAGCCTCAACTTCGCCGCAAGGAAGCAGCCTCAGCACAAGAAGCTCTACTTCTTCTTGGCCACCCTTCGAACGGCCTTTGTGATCTTGCTCTATACCATGATCGCCTGGCTCATGAACCTCAACTTGGAGGACCACGACGCTAAGAAGTCTCCGATTGCAATCCTGGGCACAGTGCCACGAGGATTCAAACACGCCGCCGTTCCGACGGTGAACAGCAACATCATCAGCCTTTTTGCAGGCGAGCTGCCAGCGTCCGTCATCGTACTCCTCATTGAGCACATATCGATCTCAAAGTCTTTCGGAAGAGTCAACAACTACACCATCGACCCTTCACAGGAGTTGGTCGCCATCGGCGTCACCAACCTCCTTGGTCCATTCCTCGGTGGTTACCCCGCTACTGGTTCTTTCTCCAGAACAGCCATTAAGTCGAAAGCTGGTGTGCGTACCCCATTTGCTGGTGTCATCACGGCCGTGGTCGTACTTCTCTCGATCTACGCTCTGCCTGCGGTTTTCTTCTACATTCCGAAGGCAGCGCTCAGCGCCGTCATTATTCACGCTGTAGGAGATCTGATCACGCCACCGAACACCGTCTACCAATTTTGGAGAGTCTCGCCGCTGGAAGTGCCCATCTTCTTCGCCGGTGTTATCATCACCGTATTCACGACCATTGAGATCGGTGTATACGTCACTGTTGCCGCGTCTGCAGCGCTGCTGATTTTCAGACTATTCAAGGCACAAGGACGCTTCCTTGGCAAGGTTAAGGTCCGAGACATGCCTAGCGGCCAACTTATCGATGGCGAGGCGAAGCGTAGCGGTTCTGGAGCTGGAACTGGAGCTGTGGCCAACGGTCACGATTCCTACCCCACCAGAGATGTTTTCATCCCATTCGACAACCAGGACGGCTCAAATCCGGCGATTCAACCTCAGCATGCGTACCCAGGTGTCTTTATATTCAGATTCTCCGAAGGGTAAGCTTCAATTTCTCACCAAATCCATCATCACGCCTGCTAACGCACGATTCAGATTTAACTACCCGAACGCCAATCATTACTTGGACTATTTGAGCAAGGTCATCTTCGAGCAGACGCAACGTACAAACCCACACAGCTACGCCAGGCCTGGAGACCGCCCGTGGAATGACCCAGGTCCAAGGCCAGGCAAGGAAGTCAATGTCGATGATCATCGACCAACACTGAAGGCTATCGTCATTGACTTCTCTTCCGTCAACAATGTCGACCTTACCTCGATTCAGAACTTGATCGATGTTCGCAACCAGCTCGATCGATACACTGCACCGGAGCGCGTTCAATGGCATTTCGCATGCATCAACAACCGTTGGACCAAGCGTGCCCTCGCGAATGCTGGCTTTGGCTATCCTTCTGTCGACAGCGAAGATGCCTTCCAGAGATGGAAGCCCATTTTCAGTGTGGCGGAGATCGGAGGCGCCTCGAGTGCAGCCGCTGCAGGAGATGAAGCATACAGCAAGCAGTTCTACCACACACAGTCTAAGGACCTCGAAAGCAGGCGACCTGATGATGACAGCATCAACGCTTCAGAATCTTCCAGCGACATTAACACTCAGCTAAAAGACTCCGCGACTTACAAGGCGAAGGTCGCTGTGGTGCAGGGCCTGAACAGACCTTTTTTCCACATCGATGTGACTAGTGCCGTCCAAAGCGCTGTTTCCGGTATCGAGGCACAGGGAAAGAATGTAGAGTAATGCACACAAATATCGTGTGGAGGAACGTTTCTTGTACATAGATTCTGAGCAGGCGCATAGCGATCACCCCAGGCATTAAATGAGCAATTGACATGTTACTTTTCATTCTTCCTTGTCCATGAACCCTGCTTGCAATACTCCAAGTCGCCTCTGTGGTCGCTGTGTTCGACATGGCCTTGGCAACAGCCATAGCTGCCAAGCTGGGCGGGGCAAGGGACATTAAGTTGGATCTTGCGACAGCAACCTCACGTCCTACGTCTCACGCTCAGACTTTGGCCCGGGCTCAGCCTATTTACAGTAGACGAATTGCTTCCGTCCTCGCTAGCTTGCAGTTCATCATCCTCTTCAGCCGGCAGACCCGTGTCCTCGCGCCTTGCCTTCTTCCATTGCTCCTCCGATTCACACCATCAGCTGTCAGCAAATATGGCTTCGAATGATGAGACTATCGTGTCCCCAGTCACAACGCGAGCACCAGATCTCACTGCTTCAATAGCTGCTGTCAATGCACAGCCTGTGGAGTTGGACAGCACTCCCGCTTCACCTGAGAAGGTGCGGCGGAGCTCTCGAGCGACTGCCTTGGAGCAAGCTGAGACCAAGCTCACTCCAGCTGAGCAAGAGGTCAGACATGCGATACGAAATATACTCTGAGCTCACTAACGACATTTCAGCGCTTGAAAGAACTGGCTAAGACTCGCAAAGCTGATCCAGCAGTTATGCAAGATATTCCGCAGATTCCGACCGCCGAAGAATTGGAGATCGCCGAGGACAGCAAAGATGCTACTGATGCTGCAGGTCGAAGCACCGAGGGCTCAGCTTAGCTCTTTTGACTTGAATACAAGCTCAGATGCGTATTCGGCTGGTGCCTATTGCGTCGGCAGCGGGCTGAATATTCGTACACATTTGCCGCGCACAATATCGGGTTTCGTTACAACACGTCTTCTGGCTTGATATAGGATGGACTGCCTTCTATTGCGACTATATTCTTACCTCAAGGCGCCGGAACAGGCAAAGAAGCATTTTTCTGCCAACTTTTCTTTGTTCTAAACAGTGCTTGGACTTGCCGCAATGGACCTGTATACGCAGTCCCGTTTGTGATTTCTTTGTCTGCCGGGTCACCACTTCTCAAGCTGGACACGATCTTTTCGCACTACACTATGCATCCACGTCGCCAAGATGTTCGTGGACGACAGGCCGCTCTCGACATTTGGGCCTACGCAAGGTTGGAATATGTACCAGCCTGTGCCCATCAATCCTCCACATAAGAAGCCTCCGATCGGAACATCACTATACACTGAGCCGAAGGCTCCAATGCCGCCGCGCTTGAGCAAGACACCTTCGTCATCTTCCTTACGCGGCTTGGAAAAGAACATTCCACCCTTCCAGACCTTCTTGCTTCGCACACCGCCTCTGGAGCACAATCACGACAAGCCACTACCGGCACCACCAATACAGGCACCGAGATCAGATGCGAGCTCTGAAAGACGGCGATCTAGCAGTGTTTACAGTCGCACGCCAAGTCACTGGGCTCCGGAGTCAGTGTCGTCATGGCGGACCGACGACTTGCAAGAGGACATACGACTGCCCGAGCGGTCGATCGCCTACAGCAGTAGTGTCCCGGATCTCAAGGCCAACGCAGATGCATCTGATGCGTCCGCTGTATTTCTCGAGCCACGAGCATTCGATCCTCTGTTAGCGAGCCCTACCGTGAGCACGATCATGTCTGACAGTTCGCCTTCCGCATCTCGCCCAGCAACCACACTTCTGCCGCAATCAGAGACGCCGATGTCGCCGGACAAGAGCATCAATACCATATCGTTAGCGCAAGCAAAAGAGGCAATACACTCGCCAGAAAGACTCTTGCCTGAAGAGCTGCTTGCTCGAACAATGAGTAAGACGAAATCCATGCTGCACTCCAGATCAACGAGTTCAGACCTTTTTGGCATGCGAGCAATTTCGTCGTCGACTGAGTACCCAATCAGTGCTACATTGGTTGACAGGCAAGGTAGAACAAGGAGCATTACCACGCCACCAGCGATTGCTTCTCTGCCTGTCGAGTACCCCTTCCCGGCACTACATAGTCCGTTACCGTCGGTCAATGCCTTTCATGTTGGACTCGGGCCTGCTCGAGATATGGCACCTCCAGCTCCAACAGTAATCAGTCAGCCAGAGTACGAAGGAGGAACTATGCATGAGCCACAGCGTGAGAGGAACAAGCCAAATTTGGATTTATCTGGATACACCATCCCGCCATCTCCTGAAACCTTTGTGCCGGATGCATATCGATTTCAGCTGGGAGACAAGCCTAAAACTGCTACAGAGGAATATCACACTGCGCTTGCGCAGGACTACCAACAACCGAACTTTGACACGACCGGATATGACTCAGACGACAGCATTAGAAGACACATGAAGATGATTCCACAGCCACTATTTTCCGGCAAGAACCGTGTCCAGAAACCAACCTCCCTGCGAAAGAGCTCCGGTGCTTCGCGTTACATACCACGAAGTAACAGTCAAAATTCTATTGCAAGCTCTCGAGGTTCGAATAGTTTTGATCTGCGTCTTTCGGTGTCGACAGCAGACTCCCGACATGCTAGTGGTGGTAGCGGCTTTGGCCACATCCCGATCTCTCCGCCATCAAGACAGCATATGCATGCCCAGCGCACATCTGTCGAAAGAGGGCGTTCACTCCGCACAGCAGAGCACCATCAAGATCTAGATCCGCGAATGGACCCTATATACAATTCGCAGTCTGATCAGCAGGTCCGCCGGGGCACTTCAGTCAGAGAAATGAAGAGATCGAGGCCGGGCTTTTCGAGCAGACTGAAACCGAGAAACTCATCGAAGTCTAGACCAAGCATTGATACGACAGACCATCCCAGAGAGCTCAACTCTCGCAGAGACTCCGAAATGGGCAGCCCGACTCTGGGAACAGCATTCGTACCTGCTCTTGCCAGTGTAGGTAATACAGGACCAGGGGCACCTTTACTCAGCAGATCTGTCATCGAAATGAAGCTCAAGACACCTCAAACCAGCCCACAGACGTCCCCACTCGGCGACCACATTCCCTCCCCTTCCTCATTCACAGGACAACAAACCCCCAACTCAGAAACACTCGATGACTTCCCTATCTTCAACAAAAAGCCTTTCTTCCAACGCGTTGGGATGAAGAGCCTCCGAAAAGCTCGAAGACGTTCTTCCACTGCAACCGATCGGAGCGTCAGTCCCTCAAGTGTCCGACCCTCTCCACAATCACCACATCTCTATTCTCCCGCTCATCCACCTTTTCCAACACCCAAGAAACAGAATATCGAAATCCCACACCTAGGATGGACACACACTTCCAAACAAAACTTCGACGAAGCCGTTTCTCCACCCGGGACACCAACAAACACAAGTCGAGCCAAACTTCCTCTCCTAAGTAACCCTTTCAAATCCTTACGTTCAAATAGCAATGCAGTAGAACATGCGGACGAAGACGGAAGCACTTCTCCTGTCCGAAAAGGAAGTATTTTCGGTAGCGTGCTGGAACGTTTCACGCACGATAAAGGACAGAAAAGAAGAGAGGATTTGAAGAAATTGATTCGAGTTGTGCCGAACGTGAGCCCTGTAGTTCCAACAGCAACGGCGTACGCTGCGGAGAATGGGAATAGGAATTCGCAGGGACGGCCGAGTATTGGGAACAGAGCAAGTACGGAGGTGAAGAGGAGGTCAAGTTTGTTGCAGAGGAGGATGAGTGCTTATGGGTGGATGTGAGATGGTTCTACACTGGTCGTGTTATTAATATGTCTTTTCATGATAGTCATACACATCCATATACGACAGCATATACGCAAACTGACGAAAGTCTTGCACTAGGCATATATATGTTCAATTCATTACAGCACTATGCTGACTTGAGAGCGTCATTCATTCATTTACGCATAGGAAGTTAAAGATTCGATCGAGCGCATGCCTTGAGCCAGCCAACGCAAACGAAACCCATCCCTTCGTGGACCATCACCAGAACTGTCGTCATCACATCATCGCGATCTTCGGAATGTTTTCTGGAAGTAGACCGGCAAATGTTGTATCATTGGACCCTCCTACTTCTTTCCAATGTTCAATTTATCCTTGATCTTGTCCAAAGCACCCTGCTTTTCTCCACTGTCGGTGCTGCTATTGTTGTTGGATGCCGGGCCGCCTGTTGCGCCGCCGGTGTTTGCTGCTGTGTTGTCCGCGACTTCAGCTACAGGAAGAAGTCAGCACCTCTCCTCTCTCTTACTCACAACATCTTCACAATTGGTGATTGTTCGGTCACTTACAAGTCGGCTGACCCTCTGTGCTACTCACTCCTCCCTGCCCAGACGTAGATGCACGCTTCTCGGGCAGATCGGGCACAATCTTACTCTCGCCCCAGTGCTCTTCACCGAGTCTCTGGCCGCCTGCTGTTGGGATGGCATCGACGTTTTCCAATTTACCACCTGCCATCTTATCGGCTGGCTTCGGAGGCTTGTGGTTATCTTTCTCGTCTGCATCGGCAGGTTGCTGTTGACGGACTTCGGTGTCTTTCATTTCGGGCATGTTAGTGTGTGATTTGGAGTTTGTGGTTGCGCCTAATGCTGATGGAACTGTTTTGGTGCCTTCGTTAGCACTGAAGTCTGGTCCGGTCTTTGTGAGGTGGCTGCCTGCTGTCACGGTGGTGTCTGGTTCGGAGTTGCTCGGGTTGTTCAGTGAGGATGGAGGTGGTGTGGTTGTGTTGGTAGTGCTATCGCCCGGGATCGACCTCTGAGGAATGCTTTGGTCTGTCGTACTGATAGAGTTGCTGCCCACTGCCCCCGCCGGCTCTGTCGTGGCCAGAGTTGACGGACGCGTCCTGTCCGGGATCTCGGCAGTGAAGCTTCCACTACTGCTCTCATGCTTGTGACCGGTACCAGAGGCAGCCGCCACAGCAACAGCAGGAGCACTCGTAGATGCACCGATTCCGGCCAGAGCAGTGACGCTTCCTGCATTCCACGCCGGCTGAGTGTCCTCGGCCTTCTTCTCTTCTGGTTTGCTCAGACCGAGGAACGATTTGACAGTATCGACAAGACCATGCTCTTCGCTCGAAACCGGGCTTCCAATGTAGGCTGATCCACTGACACCACCAGCATCTTTGCCTATTCCTCCTGTGGGGTCGTCCGATCCTGGATTACTGGCCGGAGGCTGCTCACGGATGGGTTCAGGCGCTGGATGGGAGGTATTCGTACCTGTACCTTCATTGGCGGCCGAGCCGCTCTGGTTGGCCTGTGTAGCTTCCTTCACATACTGAGCACCTTCCTGGTGGATTTGCTGAGGAGTAGTCTCAGCTCCACGCTGCTCAGTGTTGGGGATACCGCCGACGCCTGCCATGGTCCTCTGATTAGCCTGGAATTCCTTTGGGTCCTTTGGAGTCCTGGGAATTGGTCTACGTACTGTTATCGTGCAGAGCAGACATGGTGAGAAAGTCTTATATATGGGTCGTGCAGGTGTACTACGTCAAGAGACAGGTAAAAGCAGGCTCTAGGCGAGAGTCCAAGAGTCTAAGAATATATGCAAACCACTATGCTGCAAGCACGCGAGCGAGACAAGCAGCTCTTATATGTCGAAGCTGGCTACTAGCAGCCAAAGGTTCCTCATTCCTGCCAACAGGATCGAAAAGAGGGGCCGCCCTCGCCATCGAGTGCACACAGGCGCTGTTGCGTATGGCAGCTACGTCAAGGGAGGCCCCAAAGCTGGAACTCGGGCAGTATAGGCTGTAGAGATGACGGAAGCGAGCTCCATTGCGGTCTGGGAGCTGCTGCGCTGGCCTGTCGAACCTGTGGCATGGCCGTCAAAGCCGGGCGCGTTGATCGAGGCTGCCGGTAGAGTTGCATGGAAGGAATGGTCACACGCGTGGCCACGGCGTCTCTGTTTCGTGCCACAGCCAGCGAGTGGGGCAGCAGTGGGCGATCAATTGACATCATACGGCACGTCAAAAACGTGCTCCACCGAGCAAGCAAAAAGCATCATGTCTTGTCTCGCGGGAATGTCCGGAGCGATTGGTCCTCGTTGGTCAGAATCCCAGCACAAGCATTTGACCCAAGAGCCCGAAATGCTCGTTTGCCTGAGATGCTGGAGAAGCCGAATCTGGCATGTGCTGATGATACACAGATCGTTATCAGTTGCGATGCTTTTTCCCATCTCTCATCTCGGACTTTCCCAGATTGAGGCGTTTCTTGGTGCAGCATTGGATGGTACAGCCAAGCGGCCAAGTACGAAGAACACCATGTCCGACAAGAGGATATCTTGGGGACGCCCTGAGGTGAAGTTTGGTAACCACGTTCGCCTTTCGGAGCTCCCCTGGTCAGACTACGCTGTTCCTGAGGCTCCCATCGGTATACATGACTCGGGTTCCGTATGCAGAGTATGGCGCGGCTGTGCTATTGCTGTTGCATTGGAACAGTTGGGTGAGCCACAGAGAGAACCGTAACAGTGCAGTGTACCATGGTCACAGCTCACGAACCAGGCAAGTTTTGTCGTGCAGGATAACTGCAGCCATGCAACGCTGCAATGCCTCGACGACTGATCAGCACAGCAGAATGCACTTTATCACCTGGCATGATTCGAAGAAACAGCAAACGCGTCTGTGGACTGACATTCGAACTGATATTCGAAATACTGATCTGATGATGACGAAGACTCTCTTTCTTCCGTAGTGCGATTTCCTTTCCTGCGCCGCGACTTCCCTGAGTTCACATTTCCTAGGTCGGAAAACATCCAGGAGCCGTTCTGTTTTTCTCTATATCTCCGCCAAACTTTTGGCTGAGAGACAGCGCTTTTTTTCCTCCTCACTCTCTCATGAAACTCTCAGCTACCCAAATCTCGACTCGCCCGAGTCTCAACAACGAACGTCCATCGACTAGCTTGCCGCCTTTCCCAAGCTGATGAAGAAATCTAGACTCGATGAAATTCCCACCTCTCACCCCAAAAAGTCAAAAGAATTCAAGTGTCACGGCCGTCGCATGGTGAGTGAATATAAGACAATAGAAAATATACATTAGCCGGTAATGTGAAAACCAGAGCGACCGGAAAAGTCGCGTGTCGCTTCCTGGGAAGGTGTAGAAAAAGTTCCTGGAACAAAGGGATAAAATGTAAGAAGACCAGCGTGAGGCGAACGAGCGCGATTTTCGTCTGCGGCCGGGCGAGCGATTGGGCGGGGTTTCAGGAAAGGCATCATGATTTCTCTGGTTTCCTCTTGCCCCATATTGACCTCGATCGGCTTCGTCCACCAGCAGGAGGTCGTTCGCCGCGGCCGTCGTCGGCGGGTATCGGGGGAGGTTCGGGTTTCTTGTCCTTCTTATCGGACTTGTCTTTCGACGAAAGATCACCAGATATAATGGAGACATTGCTGTTGTCCATGTATTTGGCTTTGTAGATCCTGAACGGACAAAGTCAGTATACGCGTGAAAACTGCGAGATAAAGATTGAGAACGACTCACCAGCTGTTACCAGCCATGCTCATGCCCATGTCAGCCGCTTTCCTGTACAAGGCTGCGGCTCTCTTCAAATCCTTCTTGACACCGACGCCTTGCGTATAGCAGAAAGCAGCTTCGGCAAGGGCATCAACATCTCCCCAAGAGCCGGCAATCTCATAACATCGCACTGCGAGAGCTTTGTCTTTGGTACAGCCCCAGCCGTTCATGGAAGAGATGCCGAGCTCGTATATCGCAAGAGCGTATTGGGCCTTTCTCTTCTTCCTCTCGGCCGGGTCAAGTTTCTTGCCGCTGCCATTGGTTGAATTTAGCTTCTCCTCCGCATCTGCAACGTCGAGCCCTGCAGTGTCAATGGCCTTCCGCAGCCACTTGACACCTTCTGCTTGATTCGGGCGCATACCCCAGCCGTGTCGACAGGCGAGCGCATACAAAAGCATGGCGGTCGGTAGACCGGCAAGTGCCGCCAATCGCAAGTGATAAGTCGATTTGTTCGTGGCCCCTGCATCGTGGGCTTCGATACCAATGTCGAGGTGTTCTTCGGGCGTGACATCTGCAGAAAGTGCCTTCTTGTGAAGAGGCTTGATCGTGCGATCTGTGCTCTCTGTGTTCACAGAAGGTGTATGCAGTGAAGCAACTTCTGATTGATGCAGTGGTGAGCGGTCTACAGAGATCTTATGCGCCACGTCTCTTGCGCGCGGGTCCGCAGATTGACTCCTAATTATGCTGGCCTCTGGTGCGAGACTTCGGCCCTGCCGCGGAGCATCTGATAGTGCGGGTGAAGAATGGCCCTCAAACATGGGGCTGTCGGATTGGTTGCGTTCATGGCCGCGCACTTCTTGTGATGGAGTGCGGCCGTGCTTGGTGTCCCATTCGAACTGCTTTTGAATCCAGGAGTCTCGGAAAGCTGTTGAGTCTCGGTCAACAGGTCTGCCTCGTGGAAGAGCATATTTCGCGTAGATGTAGGACGATGAACTAGTGCCACCCGGTGTCACGGATCCGTCTTCTGGAAAACCTCCGATCGGCTGACCATGCAGAGTAGGACTGGCCACATCCACAACACTACTGCTACGTAGATATTGGGGAATTCGGATGTCCAACTTCGGAGCCGGCTTCGAATCGTCACCAGAGTTGCCGCGCGAAACGGCTTGCTTGTAAGACGCTTCAGTGCTGCTACTCCTATCCGAAGCCTGCCTATGGGGAATTTGCGGTCTTTGGTCAAAGGAAGGCCGGCTCTCGAACGATGGCCTGGGCCGCATAGCGTCTGAAGAAGGCCTACCAGAACTACTCATCGGCCTTGAGAAATTGTTGAAGGCGGCAGAGGGGCGATGCATCTGCTGCGAACCATTAATGGAATACTCGGATGTCATCGAAGGCGACCTGTGCATTGGCTGCATCCAAGGCGAGAAAGGCGATTGCGGTCGAGACATGTTGCTGCTGCCAGATAGCTTGCGTGCAGAGGGATGGCCAGTTGACTCATTCGCAGAAGCAGCATCTTCGTCGCCGCTGTCAGGCGGTACAGATCGAATGCTCTGAAAGCTTCTGGGTGATCTAGGATAGCGAGGCGACTGAGGCGGCGCAAGGCCTCGTTCCTTCTCCGATCTTTGCGACTGGAGTGATCTCTGCGATCGCTGCGAGTCGTTCGTCCTGGTCCTGGGATGTGAGGATATTGTATCGATGCTGTCCGTCAAACTCGGTGGCACGTTCGGTGACGGCGCCTGGACGTTGACATTGGGCTCCACGGGTTCTGGGGATGTTGCTCGTGGGATGCCAAAGTAGTCTTGCTCGCTCTTCCCGGCTGTCTGCGACTCTGGTTCGGCGCCTTCCTGCGCATCGTAGAACGGGGTGGGTAGAGCAGGCACATCGGGCGCGTCGTCGTCCGTAATGTACGACGCGCGATCGAGAGTTGGATAATAACTCACTGGCCTTTGGCTGTCAGGAGTCTGTGTCGAGGGCTGGCTGCCGCCCTGCGACTGCGGGCTGGTGATGTCCTCTTCTTCCTCTTCCACGTCCGTCATCCTGCTCTGGTCGCTGATTGACCGGAAGAAGTCTGGTCGGTTTCTGAACTCTTTCTCCACCAACTTGTGATCCAGTCTGCTCACTCTGCGCCCAGCTTGCTCCTCGCGTCTCTTCTCCTCAGCCAACTGCTGCTTCAACATCCTGCTCTGCATCGCGATGAAGTCCAGCGGCGACATGGCCGGTGGCACCTCGCCCGCGCGCGGTGACGGCAGGTCTCTGCCCAAGAAGGGCATTCGCGGCTTGTCGAAGACTTCATCCTGTCCATTATCTGCCTTGGTATCCCGCAGGTTCAGGTGCGTGGGTCGCGGACCCATGATGTTTGTGTTGCGCTCTCTTTGCGCTGCAAATCATGCGGAGTCCTGGCGCAGCACAGCATATGAAGATGCAATGGTGAATACGATGGCCCGGCCTGAGCTCCGCCACAGTTCAGCCTATTCCCGTATTCTTTGTGTGGTAGGGGTGTATGTGCAACCCGGCCAGCTTCCAATGGCGCTTCCAGTGGTGGCGGAGGTCGCTCGCTGCGCCCAACAACGGCCGCGTGCTGGCAATAACACGGCGGCGGAGAACAAACACGGAGGGTGGAATTATGAGATAGTCGAAAGGAGCGGACGGCGGAGGGCAGAGGTGGTGACGGGATGCAACGCATGGAGCACTGCCACTGGCGAAGAAGCAGACGGCGTTGTCAAAAGACACACCCATACACACACAACTGCACACACGCGCGCGCTGGCCGCTCTCACACGCCCCTTGAACATCGTGCCCAGCCTTGCAGCCCACATCGAACTGCGGCCAATCAGCGGACGCGTGCTCCTGATCGCCGTCCCGCCATGCTTCGCTAAGTCCTTTCTACGATGAAGCGCCGCGGAGCCCGTCCTCACCTTATCTCTTCTCCTCCATGCCACTGGTTGTGTGCTGCCAGCTTCATTTTGCTGTCGCCACTCCTCCACGCGTCATCAGATTCGTGCACGAAGATCAAACAGGCGCGTCACACGCGATTCAGACTTTGTCGCAGACTCCGACCAGCAGTGTCGGCCTCACGGCTTGGCGGCGAGCTAGGCTGCTTTCGCTCTTGCCGATGCCCTGCTTCCGCGAAGAGAGATCCACCATCGTGGAGACGCAGGCCGCCACTCTAATTTTGGACGTTCGAGAAGAGCTTGTTGAACAAGCACGCCGCGACCTCTTCCCTCACACCACCGCACCCAGTCAGCCTGGGGCTGAAGGCTGACGCCGTGTGTGGCAAGAGGACGGCAGGAGCAGTTTGCCACTGTCATGGCTGCTGGTGTGCTATTCCATGGCGAGAGGACTCGTGTTCAGTCGATTTGGCTGGGTCTAAGCTGCTGCAGGTGAGGGCGGGTACGATGCACATTGGAGCATTTTCGGAGAATATTGATGCAGGAACACGGTCGACGCAGGAACGCGAGCCACTTCTGCTTCGAGATCACGGTCTACCCACCTTCACTCCCAAGTCCACGCATGGCGTGCTGTTCAAGATTGTCCACGATGCGATCAGGGCGTGGACTCGCGTGGCAGAACCGGGCGCTCTCGTTGGGCTGATACAGTAGCAGTTTACAGCACTCGCAAAGACCTGTCACGTCCGATTTCGGCGATCCAGGAAGACTTCACACTGCAATGATTCAATCATACCTTGAACGGAAGGCAAACATTATGCTGGCACCTCGATCTTTACGCAAGCATTGGCAACAAACGTGCTAATTCGAAATCGCCAGGCCTGCTTCCTGAATGTCTGCCAACGCCGCCTCCGCCTTACTTGTAGTCAAGCACTCCAATACCGCTCACGGAACGTTTGGTGTGGCTATCCAACGACATGTTGGTGCACATCGCTCAGCCAAGCCTAATTGTTCCTCAGCTGGTTCCCTCAATTTGCGGAGATATGTACAAGGAATGAAGCTCTGCCCAAAGACCCTCCTGCTTCGATGGCTATCCTGCGTCAACCCTGCCTGAAGCGCAAATACCAGTCCCAGCCGCCTGAAAAAGAGTGTCAGCAAAGCCAGTCCGCGCAAGATTCTTAGTACCCTGGGAGGCATTTCCACCGACTGTGAGCCTTGAGGACGTTGATAGCCAGATGCGGCATCTCATCCAGGAGCGCATCAAGGCGCTCCCCATGCAACTCGTCCAGATTGTGCGAGATGAGCCGCACGATCTCGCGACGAATTTCTAGCGGAGTCTCGGGGTTGTTGTAAAGTTGTCTTGCCCTTTCGATGACATTGCTTTTGACGATCTCACAACTGATGACAGCAAGTGCGAACGCCCTGAGCGTAGGCATCATGTACTATCCATGTCAGCATCAACTCCGTACGAAGAACACCGGACTCACCCTGTCTGCCAAAGCAATCATGCTCAGATGGAACTTTGTGTATTCCACTATTCCTTCCCTGCCTCCTGGGCCGCAGTATCGGCCGTGGTACATGAATTCCACCAGAGCGCCGATCTGGTCGACCTCAACCTCTTTGAGCACTGCGCGACCGGACTGGCTTTCCTGCGGCAACTGTTAGCGAAAGTTCACGTTCCGACTGTGAGGAAAAGACTGACAACAAAACGTTCGTTGGTGCTCATTTTGTACAGCATATCGGAGTGCATCATTAGCACGATCTTGTGCACTTTCCACTCTTTTTCGCCAACAGCTAGAACGAAGTCGGAATGTGCACCCGTATCGAGGATCCTGTAAGTATTAGATTTTCCATCGCTCATTTCTGTTGGGCGGAGTGTTGGCTCACTTTCGAAGAACATCATGTATGGCATCCATACGAACTTCGGAACCGAAGTCGCTCATCTTGGAGGAGTGCAAGATGGCGATAGTGTAAGTGAACACTTTTCGTGTCTATGAACACTGGGACTGAAGTGCGAGTGGTTAAGAGTGCCGCACGTCTGTTTGCTGCAGGTTGGTCGTGACTGCCATCTGAGCTTCACTCGCACCTACCGTGGACTGCTGTCGCTTTCCGAAGCTTGAAACGCGACCCGTCACTTCTAGGCTACTCCAAGACCTTCCTGACCTCAACCTCCACAGTACATTCATCCGCACACATACCATTCAAATGGCCAACGGCACGGTGCAACAGCACTTCTGCAACAGACTAGAGGACTTCTTCGGCAAAGATGATCTGACCGACTTCGTGATCGTCTGTGGTGAACAAGAGTTTGAGGTCCACCGACTTGTCCTCGCATTGCACTCGGACGTGTTGTTCAAGGCGTGTACTGGTGGCTTCAAGGTACACGGAACGCTTGCACCGAAACGCCCCGAACATTACTCACCATATTGCAGGAGTCTCACGAGAGGAAAATTGACCTCACCGCAGACCATGAACCGATTCACATCGCGGTTCTCGTGGAATACATGTATACTTTTGGCCTCTGTGTACCAGTTGGTAAAGACGAAACGCTCGACTTTCTCGTGCACATGGCGATTCTTGCCGACAAATACAACATGAAGCATCTTCACGAGGAGGCCACTAGCACCTTCAAGATGTTTCAACCAATTTGTCGTCCTGCTATCATAGCGAACGCTGCTGAACTCGCTTACGATGCGCCAGCCGCCACTTCAGAGATACGCGAAGCAATCTGCTCTCAGGTCGCCGAGCACAAGGAGTGGTTGCGTAATGAGGACGGCAAGCCACTGGTCCAGACTATGGAGGAAGTCGGCAGCTTTGCGGTCGACGTTGCAAAGCGAATTGCCATGCCGGCTCCGCCGACATGGACGAAGTCATCAAGGAAGTGTCCATTGTGCCGCACATGGCAACAATTCCCTAGTCCACTGGCCGCACATCGCGTCTACACATGCGACACCTGCCCAGCAGCGTCCAAGGGCTCAAACTGGTTGCTGATGTAGCAGCTCAGCAGACCAGAAGGCATACGAGTGTATCGCAATAGATGGAGATATCGCACTCTTCGAAGCTGTTCAGCAGTCGGGCGTGACAGCTGTCACAGAAGTTGAGAATTGCAGTCGTGGTCGATGAGAGTCCATACGCTATGCTACTTTAGAACTTCAAAGGCAATAGCTGTTTTTCTGCTCGCCGTTCTGTTGGCCGTGTCAACTGACCTGCCAGCTGAAGTCGAACGTGGTGACTTCGCATGTGGTCAAGTGCAGCGGTATTGCAACTCGGGCCTTCCCATGACATTATGATATCTGATCTGGGTCGTACTGCTTACCGAGCTGCCCATGCTGAAAGAGTGGCATACTGCAGCGAGAATGCCTCAGTCCAATTTGTGCGAGCTGCTCCCACATGCTCTGTCGTTCCAAGCAGAGCAATCAATGCCACCAGTCAAAAATCTTTGCTCGTGGCCTTGGCTCGTCCGGCTGCTTTACGAGACTGTTGTACCGACCAATTAGCATCATTGTTCGATCAATGGACCTGAGTGTGAACTTACACTTCCACCTGTGCCCACAGACCGTACACTCGCAGAAAGTCGTGAGCGGTTCATCAGCGGAACGTGTCTGAGCCTGAGAGTAGGAAACCTTGCTCTCCTTGCAGCGGCCGCAAGTCATGCTATATGCTTAGTCAGCCAAAGTCTCTCAGACGCAAAGCAACCCTGCGCTGCCTGCCAGCGTGGAACTGACAAGAGCGCAGGGTTGTTGTAGAATGTCCCAAGGGTCAGCAAACGGAAGAAGGAATACGTACGTTGTCGAGATGGCCTTCGCCTCTTGAGCAGTCATCGCCTTGCTCATGTTCTCCTTCTCCAAAGCCTCATCTTCCTTCCGGCGATCCTCACTCTTCAGCTCCTCGCTTGTCATTGTCACGAAACGCTTGGGCTCAATCTTCTGAGTAAACACATCTCTTCTCAGCAGTTGATTGTCCTTGAACTTCAGATTCTGGAACAGCGATCGCATCTTCTGCTTGTAGTCGTTGTTCGTCTCGTTCTTGAAGTGCTCGAATGCAGCAACCTCGACTCTCCTAGCCACGCTGAAAATCGCATCCGGCGATTCTTCTGACATGAACGCAATCCCATCGTACATGAGCTTCAAGCACCCATCGCGAGTCTTGTCGCCCGTGACGTTGTAGTCGATGCGATCTGTCTGGGTATTGCGTTTGGCGGGTTCGACTGTGCTCTTGCGCTGCTCGCCCTTGACTTCCGACTTCACCTGAGGTGCAGGGCTGCCTGTTGCGCTTGCACCCAGGCCGTTCCTGCTTGGAGGTGCTGGACTATCACTTCCCGCCTTCTTCTTCTTTGCGTTGACCTCTTGCTTCCATCTATTTACCAGCTTCGAAGCAGTTTCTGCCACCTTCGGATCCTTGTTCTGTCGAAGCTTTGTTATAGCAATTCCGATTTTCGATTGCCGGAGCAGGTCTTCGGTTGCGCGAAAGTTCTCGAGCGGTTTGAGCAGGTCGAGCACGGTACTGGCTGGGTCTCCTGATTCGGCGGCCTTGAGAATCTGCCTGCCGATTTGCTGCAGCTCTTTGGCGTCCAGCTGTGATGCCATTTTGGAGCGGACTGGCGAGTCCGGTGGTGAGGTTGGGCGCGCGAAGGTGAATGATCGGTGGTCGCGAAAGGTGCGGCTGGACGTTTGAAATATTGCGGCAAGGCGGAGAGTGTTTGCTGGTCGTAGATTGTCGATGTGTGATGTTTGAATTTAAGAAAGGAAGTTGAGGTTGATCGCGAATCGTCGCTTCAGGCACGTGTCGCGTGCGCCTGCCGGCAATGCGCGGCTCCACTTGCCCGCTTTCACATGACAGGCTTAAAGCGAACATGAGGTGTTGGGACACGTTCGTACACCTCTGTTCGCTTGGATCGTTCTATGATTCGATTCGAATCGATCGCCTCTGTGTATATTACGATTGAATGAATGTGGTCTCCAAGAAACTCCCCGAGACCCCAGAAGCATGACACAAGCTATTTGCTGAGAGCCAGCAACACTTGACTTGAGATGACATGCGTGAAGGCCAAATTCAGGATACCCATATTCCACTCCTGCGAAGCCGTGATAGTCGAGCATGTACTATGCAGGCCATCTTGCTATACTTTTGAAGAAACGATGTCGTGAAGCGCAGCTGGGCGGAACGACCTGAAGCTTTCAAGCATCTCCCCTTTGGTGACAAAAGTCGTGGCACTGCCGTCTCCAGCCTGACCACGAAGCTCACTTCTCGTCACTTCTCCTCATTGAACCTCCGCAATCAACAGCAATCATGTGTCGATATTGTGGAGTACTCGTCGGCGAATGCCTTGCGCCTCTGATTAGAAGAACGGCAGGAATGGTGCAGAAAAGGACAATGTAGGATGAACACCCAAGAGCGATCACGAGCACATGCTGACGAGACACAGGAGCACCCGAGTCGCATACCGTCCAGCGACACGTTTGATACAGTCTACAGCCACTCAGGGTGGTATCAAATCATTCTCGTCATCAGCATCGCTGTGCAAGAAAGGAGGTAAGGCTGCCCGAGAAGAGAAGAAGGCCGAAACCAAGGGAAAGGGCGACGCCGCGGCCGAGGACCCGTACGACTTCACCGATCTGGAGAAGGATATATCGAATGCTCTGGAGAGGCTGAAGACGGACCTGTCGAAACTAAGAGCTGGTGGCCGTTTCAACCCTGAAGTTGTAGAGAATCTACGTGTGCAGCCGGACAAGCAGAGCAACCAGACCGTCAAACTCAACGACGTCGCCCAGGTCATTCCCAAAGGCCGCACTGTGCAGATCCTGGTTGGCGAGAAGGATGTGGGTGGAGAAATGAAGGACATTGATGGAAAGTACTAACTTCAATCGCAGCATGTTAAACCTGTTTCCTCCGCCATTCAGTCATCCTCACTGTCGCTTACACCACAACCCGATCCTACTGGACAGAACCCGCTTCTCTTAGTCCTCAACATCCCTCCTCCTACAGCAGAATCTCGAAAAGCAGTCATCGATGAAGCAGGCAAGGCAGGGGACAAGGCGAGCACGAGTGTCAGAGACGCTCGCGGCAAGCAGCAAAAAAAGCTTCGAGCGATGCAACTGGGAAAGTCTGCCAGGCCCGACGATTTGAAGAAGGCCGGCACAATGATGGAGAAAGTCGTCGAAAAGGCTACCGCTGAGCTCAAGAAAGTTGTGGATAATGCCAAGAAAGTACTTGAGAGCGGATGATACATTGATCTGTACTCTCGGCTTCACGATCTGTACCACTACGATTCTCCTCGACAGCTTCTGCCCAAGTCAACGAGTCACTCCGATACGTACGTTTCCATCCGAAGACAAGGCGCCGAGCCTACGGACATTCGGGAATAGGCTTTCAGATCGGCTTGGTAAGCTCGAGTGCCAATGGTCCCCAGACAAGTCCACTCTACTGTATCTTGAAGCGGCGGTTTGTCCCACAAGGCCCCACCTCCTGGCGACTTCAGGCCACCACAATGGGCTTAGCATAAGTCACTGACGGTGCACAACCTATCACGAAGTTCGGTGATGTCGAAGTTTCTAACGTGCTGGAGCTCGGATCAGCCTGGCAGCGTTTGCTTGCGGCATCTGCGCAATTTGCAGGTCGGTGGTGGCGCATCCCGCGACGCAACAACACAATGGTGTGCATGTAAGTTTCCACTATACTGCAGCAACATGACGTGAAATCCAAACTGCGTGTCCTGGGAAAGACCTCGCGAAGTGCATAAAAGCACTTTATGAAATTGCACGTTTGAGTGAAGCAAAGATCCCATCGCCGCCTCCTTCAGACTGCAACATCAATCTCTTGTCGTATCAATCATGTCGTCTGCAAACTACCCTCTTCGCAACAGCGGCATATACCGCAACCTTCCAACCTTCGACCCCTCCATCAAAGGCCTCACAGCACTGATATGCGGCGGCAGTGGGATCTCAGGCTTTCATGCTCTTCGTGCCCTGCTGGACTCACCGGAGCGATGGAGTACGATCTATATCCTGTCTCGCTCGCCCCTGCCGGAGAAGATGGTCGCACTTCTGACGGAAGACCAGAGGCAACGAACCAAACACGTCTCTGTCAATCTGCAAGGCGATGCTGAAGAGGTAGCCCAAAGCCTAAAAGATGCCCATGTCAAGCCAGACTACATCTTCTTCTATTCGTACATGACTGCTGAAAATGAGAATGCCATGGATGCAAAGGTCTCGCAGAAGCTGTGTGATCTGAATGTTCCCCTGATCAACAACCTCCTTCAAGCCCTGCCAAAGGCAGACATTCACCCCAAGAGGATCCTACTACAGACAGGAGGCAAACACTATGGAGTGTGAGTTGTGGATATTCTCGGCCAGACCATGTAACTTTCCTGACCAGAACGACAGACACATCGGCCGTGTGCGCAACCCAGTCCGCGAATCCGATCCAGCTCCCAAGCATTTGCAAGCCAATCAGTTCTACTATGAACAAGGTCGTCTGCTTGAGCAATATTGTGAGGAGCATCCAGAGACAGGCTGGAATATTGTTCGGCCATTTCCAATCATTGGTAGCGTGACACAGACCTGGATGAACACAGCTTATCCGTTTGGCGTCTACGCTGCCGTGCAGGCTCATAAAGGAGAGCCCCTAGGTGAGTACGCTTTCCAACACAATCAGAGCTACAGTGCAAGGACTTGGGCATTTGCACTTGCACTTTATCTTTACGGCGCATCCTAGGCCACTCGATCTGCATCCGGCTAGATTTGAAGCTTGTGGCCAATGATGGAGAGCAGACCTATCAAAGCAGCACTTCGCGAGCTGTACACACCAGTCATGCTTCAGCAGCCATCATTGACACCCTTAATTCCCAAACAATTCATGATACTGACCAACCGTGTTCCAGAATTCGGCGGCGACTGGGAAGCCTGGCAATTCGCGCAAGCAATGTCCACCGCTCGCATGACAGGCTACCTCTCCGAATGGGCCGTCCTAGAGCCCCAAAACGCAAACCAAGCCTTCAACGCCACAGACGGCTCTCTTCTCTCCTTCGACCATCTTTTCCACGAACTCGCTCGCTGGTACTCCGTCTCCAAAGGCGTGAATCTCCCTAAAACAGACTCTGAACGCTCCTTCCCTAGGAAAATGCAACTGGCAGGAGGCAAAGATTCGCCGTTGGGATATGGTCCTCCTCTTGAGACGCCTCTCGAATTTTCGCTTGCGGACTGGGCGAGGAAGCCGGAGAATCATCAGGCGTGGAAGGAGATTCAGGAGCAGAGTGGAGGGAGATTAACGCATGATCCTTTCGGAAGTGAAGAGGAGATAGATAAGACCTTTCTGGGAGATTATTGTTATTTGAGATATGGTGTTATCGGACAGGATAAAGTGCGGAGAGCTGGGTTTACAGGATATGTGGACATTCTGGAGGCATTCTTCGAGACATTCGAAGAATTCGCCAAGTTGGGAATGTTGCCGGAGATGAAGGTTGACGCAGCGATTCCACTGGGTGCATGAAGAATTAGCAGGACAATCCTGAATGTAGAAGGTAGTACGAAGGCGATCAGATCTTGCATTTCATCTATCCGCTTCTTCGCGATGCACCGCGACTCCAGGCGATGCGACCCATACCGTAGTACATGCAGAATTTTCGTAGCTTTCCAGCTGCTCTCTAAGTAGTGCTCTTCTTCGCGAATTCGACACGCAAGATCAAATGCCCGTAACCGAAACCATCCATCTTCTCGCAAGCACGTGCAGCATCTGATCGGTCTGCGTAACTGACGAACGCAAAGCCCTTTGCTCTGCCTGTTTCACGGTCCTTAGCCAAGAAGACACGAGTGACGCGGCCGTAACGCTCGAACATCTCGCGCAGATCGCCTTCTTCTGCGAATTCTGAGACCTGTGAAACATGTCAGTATGCGCCAGATGCAGGAAAAGGACCCTTCGTAAACTCACGTTTGTGACACGCAACGTAGCAAGATCGTCCCTCTCGAACTTGCCACCCATTCTCTCACCGCCACCAGCACCGGCGGCACCCTTACGCAGATGCGGCGGCACATAACTGCTTCCACCAGCACCCAAGCCTCCCTTATCTTCTCCCGTAATAGCATCCATGTCCGCCGGCGCAGCATCCTCTCCCGTCGGCGCCATGGTGTCCTTGAACGGACACTTTGTCGTAAAGTGATCTCCCGAACAAATACGACATTTGATCTGCATCTTCTTCAACGCCTCTGCCTTCTTATCCTCCTCAGGAGCCTTCTCTTGCGCACCACCGGCCTTGAAGCCCACCTGCGGTCGGAAAATGATGTTCTCGCCAAGTGTCGTAGTATCCGGATGCGGGCCCGCTGCGCGACCAGCCTCGATGCCCATCTTGGGCCATGCTCTGCGCTCCGCGACACGAGGGTTTTCTCGCTTCTTTACGACGCTGCGGCGAATTCTTTGTGTGCGCTTGACCTTCTTGCCCTCCTCGTTGATGAAGAATGTGATGACTGTTTCGGTGCCGTCCTTGTTCTTGGTGATTTGTGGGGCGGGAATGGCGTTGCTGAGATCGGGCGCATCGTCGTCGTCGGCCCAGTCGGTGCCTCGCGGCGGGTTTTGTACTGCGGCGGCCATGTTGTGTGTGGTGATGTGGACTGTTCAAAAAGTTCAACACGTGAAGCGGCGTTGTCGAATTGTGGAAGGTGCGAGTGTGGGGTCAGTCACGTGAGCGCGTCACAGAAATTCCTGAGACGCAGCTGTGCGCGTGTTGCACTGCTCTACAGGTCGTGTATCGAAGCTGCACACAAAGTCGCTGAATCCAGCGCAGCCTGTGAAAAGGCACCAGTGTAAAATCCTGTGCGGTACTACATGACGGATATGATCGACCTACATTGCCGTCCGTTGGCATATGTCTTTCAGCACGATTGGTCCTCGAGCGATCTGTCTGATGGATTTCCAACAGCCTACGTACTCACTACTCTTGGGCTTGGAGAGAACATAACGATGCCCCTGCCGGATAATGTCTCTGCCGGCTGTCTGCTTGTGGTGGCGGCTCACGTAGGACTCACAGACAAGCGTATATTGCTGTCCAGGAGAATTGATGTGCGGCGACGCGTCTGTGCCCCAGCTTGATCACGAGCTGACGACACATCAGGCCATTGCTCGTACCCTCTGCGTCAGGGGAGTACTGAGGCTCCTTTTGGTCGCCACATCTAGTTGTGCCGAGAATTGGGACACCTTAACATGTACCCTCTAGTAGGACGCGGAGGCGTGATAGGTGTCAGTTGTGACGTCGAATTTGTGAGACTGTCTCAAATGCGAGCAAACCCGAGTCAGTCGGGAGAGCATACTGAACGAAAGCATCCTTCGGTATGACTTGTGGCGTGTGGCGTCGACATGAGCTTCAGAGCCATTCCAGATACCGGCCGTAAGCAAGGTCTATCTTTTAGGTCGTCGGCCCAGAAGGCCTAGAATACCATCCAGCCGTTCATGGTCTGCGGGCTCGCGGGTATGCATATCCAAATGCTAGGATCTAGTCAGTACGATCCTTAGGTTAGACTTCGGGCATGGCAATACTTCGCTATTGCGGGTAAGAAAAGGATATGCACGTCACGCTAGACGAGAAGCATCCACTTCGACGTCAGGTCTCTCTTGGAAGCTGTCTGGACTCTGGCGGCGGTGCGCTCGTTGGTAATGCTGGCCGAAATGAAGGAACGAGGTCAAATCGGATATTGCTGTCCATCAAGCTAGCAATGGAGCTAGAGTGCACCCTTGCTTGATGATCGTGATTCGGAAACTGAAGGACACCGCCCTTCGGGGGAAAGCACATTGGATAATGCGTCGCTGTTCATCAATAGTACCTTGCTAGTTTAGGATCACAGCCAGTATCAGACTTGGCGTGCCTTCAACCTACAAGCATCAGCGTGCCGTCCTTACCGAAGGAAAGCTCACCAAATGCTCCGTTGTCGACATGGAGAGCATTCTTGCGTCAGGATCACATCTCCGAGGCTCTCTATCAGGGCGGACTATACATTCAGGGTGTCCAGCTAATCCGGAGGTGTTCGACCAGGATCGATGCAAGTCCACCGAATGAGATTGAGTGCTGAGGCACCATCCTCATTTCTCGTCACTGCGGCCCCTGCCACGCATTCGGGTCCGGAACATGAGCAAGCACCAATTGCGTCCCGTCAACCCGAAAGGGAAGGCCAAGTTACGAAGTAGCCGGCACGGCCCTCGAAATGATCCGAATTGTGTGTGAATGGCCCGCAATGAACGACATGGCATGCGTTGCTTACCGCGCTGGCGTCAGACCCGAGACATCCTGGCGCCTGCTCTATGTGAAGCGTGCCGCCAATGATACTAGGTAGCCCAACAAGGTGGGAACAAATGACAGACAGACAGGCAGCGCGAATCGAGTGCCTGTCTGATCGAAGAGCAGTGAGCCCGCCGGCTCGTATTGTACGTGATTTGCCTGCACTGGATATTTTTGTTTTGCGTATCGAGCGTGAACGTCGAAGGTTGTGCCAAGGCTAGTCTCGTTCGTATTGGAGAAGTCCTAGGTGAAATGGCGTTCTCCTATCAGCCTGAATGTTTATCAGGCCGTGCGTCACACGCTGTAGTCTGATACGCCATGCCCGCTCAATGAATCACAGCACAGAGGGCCGCACAAAGTCCGGAGCCCGAATTGCGCCTGCATCAGCATGAGACTCCGGCAGTAGAAGTCATTCAGACGCTTCGTGTCTCCTTTGCGCATTCGATGTCTCTTAGACACCGGGATCGAGAGGCACGGTCTCGGCATCATCCAACTTCATCCGGGGAACCATGCCAAGCAGACGTTCGTGAGGCGAGAGGAGTGCCGAAGGGCGTGTGATGGCGACCAGGCGTGCCAGGCCACGGTTTGGCGGTTTTGGTTCGCGAAACCCAGAATTTCTAGCCACCGGAGGTATTGCTGTTTTGGGACAAATCTGGGATCGAGGGTGCAGGACCTGGAGATCAACAAGTGCGAATTGCAGGACCTTGTCGGAACTATTGTTGGCGCATTCACGTTTGCCATGTCCACGACCGCCGTCGATCTGGTGCAGTTGAAAGGAAGCTCCGCCACCTGTTGTCGGTCTTCGAGCAGGTTTTGCGCAGGAACTTGGCGTGAATTGGGCATGCTGGCAGTGTCGAGCCACATCCTGAAACGTTGAACAGACTATTGACGTCGATCTAGCCACGCGTGGCTCGCTCAACTGACGTTATACCGCACCTAGGCTGCGCGGTATAAGCCGTGTACATCGATAGTCGTAAGTGTCGTATACTGCGATGGCTAGGCATTCTGGCTGGAGCAGTGGTGGAGAAGCCAATGCACTCCTGTCTCATCACTGGTGGACAGGGCCCTGGTGACGTTGGCGGGGAGTCGCAGCGCGAGAGTCCGTGGCTGGAATCTGATTTCGGCATGTGTGAAGCTGACGATCTTTGCCTTGCCGTGCGTGTCAGGCATTTCGCATTCGCAAGCAGACATCGAGAAAGGCAAAGGAAGGGACGAAGAATGCTAGCTCTGTGAGATCGACATGCGTCCGTGCGCTGAAACGGAGCCAACAACAGCGGGCCCAAACCATGTGAGACAAGGATCCGATGAGAGCAGGCCGCCGATCATGCAAGAGCCTATGGGGCCCCTATGGTGCGACGGGCTTTCGATATTGCATCGTCGTCAACGTGTGCGATCAACAGCAGAACAAAATACGCTTTGGCAGCTGCGATTGCGTTGCGCCGGAGCTTCGCAGAGGTGCATGCCACAATACAGCCTGTTGTCAGCGTGCGCTATCGTGCATCTGGTAATCACATAGCCGTGTCTTTTGCATTGACTTTGTCGGTGCTACGAGGTCATGACTGGTCTGCTCGGATGGCTATTTTGGCTGTCGTGCCTTTCGCATTCATGGCCCCCAGTCCCTGTCGCAAGGCACAGCATCGCACAGCAGGCAGCATGAGACCCACGATATCACCCATTGGCGCAGGGACATGGCGCCTCTCCCACGTGGGCATCATGGCAAATGTAAACTCTAACTCTGTCTCGGCTCCCGGGCCTGCGGGCGCTCCGCCATGGCTCTGTCTCTTCTGCAGCCTGTGTTCGCTCCGTGCGCCGCCGCTTGCGTTGGCACCGTAGACACATGCAGCGACGAACATGGCAGAGTCTTGCACGCCGAGTCAGCCGGCGAAAATGCCTTGCCATAGCCCATGGCGATCATCGTCTTGCAGCACGAAGCAGATCGAAGATGACTCGGCACCGAGATGGTCATGGTACTGTAGGAGCATGCGCAAGCCAGCAACTACGGACTGTCGATCTCTGGAGTATGTCTTCGGCCGACATGGTCGCGACAGTCGCACGATACCGGCGAATGTGTCGCTCCGTCGCAGACAGCCATGTACCAGAGCAGCAGTGCGCTAGCTGACGATGATGGCTGTTCTGTTCGCAGGCTCAGGCGCAACGGCGTCTCACCGTCGTGGTCGTCAGACGAGCGATATGCCGCTTTGAAGGTTAACATATTGCCTCGCAGTAGTAGGGGCGTTTGAGTGGCTGCCCCGGCGTGCGAGGCGGAGGTGGCGTCGAGCTTTTCCACGCCGCGACGCACCTGCGAGGCGTTTTACGGCGAGAGAATAGGCCATAGACTTTGGCCCTCGCCATCCAACCCTAACGTGCTTGGCCGCGACGGAAGACGCCGGGTTGGCATCATCATCAGAGCCTCGAGTGCCCTCTTGACGCCCAAAAGCGTTCGTAGGCAGCGCGTTACTGGCCTGACGATCGGCTTCCGGAGCGCAGTGGGCCGCCGAGCTGCTGCACGTTGGGCCCCTGTCCACGCCTTCCGCTGGGCGCTGGAGCTGTCAAGTGTAGTTCTAGCGCGCGCTCGTCGACGCTGCGGGCGTGCGGGTGGTGGAGCCCTCGCGCGCGCAGACCTGCGCAGGCCACGGCGGTGGTGGCGGCGGCGGCAGACTTTTCTGCGCTCCATCTCATCATCATCAGCAGCAGCAGAGGCGCGCGCACGGGAAGGATGCTGCGCCGGGCATGAAACATGGAGTACCACGTCGGCGCGCTCACTCATCACCACCAGCGCGGGCAGGGCAGGCCAAATGCTCCGAAGGATGCGCGCCCGCCGTCTCACCATGGCCTGTCCGCAGTGCTTGTGCAGACTGAGGCGCGGCGCGCGAGAAGCTTCGTTCACTCGCAGCACGCAGCGCCAGCCAGCCTGCTTGACCGCCCAGACTTGCGGCTGCTCGTTGGTCTGCACGTAGTGGCACACATCCCTACCACCCATGCGCACAGACTAACAGCGACTCCCGGTGTCGATCACTCGCCGTGCAGTTCGAAAAGGAAGAACGTCCGATTGAGTACCGCCCCGCCTGGCCCTTGTATCAAGCAAGCTTCCTTATTGCCCACGAGCGAACATGTGGATCTGCTGTTCTGCCAAAGGGGCCACTGTCGCTGCTCACGGAGTCTGCCGTGCTGCACGTGTTGATCATGTCCATCGATCTAGACATATGAACAAGGTCGCTATACCGTCCGCGACCCATCCAGCAGACGACGCTGTGCCGTGTCTGTCCATTGTTCCGCGCCCTCGTGACCGAGCCACTGGCGGCTCCTCAGCGCTGCAGATCACCACGTTATCACCACGTTGTGATCAAAGCCTGCCGCCACGGCCCTGCCAGTTTTCGACCATACGGGGCGGCTGACGCCTTTGCCGGAACTTCAAACGGCCATCAGCATCCTGCAGACACTGGGCACATTAAGCATACAGACCTTCTGAAACCTTACCCGCCGCCCCCAGGCACGCTATACAACTCTACACCACGGCCACTCGGTACTCGACGAAGTCTATCTCTTGCTTGTGAACATTGCCACTGCGTCCCGGACAGGGACGACTAAACCTCGTCATGGACGGCCATGGTCATTACCCACCGCACATGTACTACCCTCATGGCTTCCCTCCGACACCCAACATACCAGCGGATGCATATCAACAGACGCCAAGACTCCACCAGGTGCAGAACATGTCGATGGAAAGCATAGGCTCGTACTCCGATTTCGAAGACGCTGGGAGAACGATGCTTCCCCCACAGGCGCCTGCGCGGTCACGGCGGCGTCAGCCACAGGGAGCGGAGCATGTCAAGCACAGGCGGACCAGGAGCGGGTGCTACACCTGCAGACAGCGGAGAGTGAAGGTGAGGTGTAGCAACATGCGTTGACGGCCCAAGTACTGACGGACGACGAAAGTGCGACGAGAGCCATCCGATTTGCGACAGTACGAACTCCCATAGTGGTGCAGAAGCATGCAGTTGACCAAATATCTAGGGTGTCGAAAGGGCAAGCGCGAATGTACTTACCCGGGTGACGCAGTTAGCGCACCTTCCACCGCAAGGTCAAAAGGCAGCCGACGGAAAGGGTCCCCCAACGGCTCCAGCCCATCAGGTAGCGATTTCGACGGCGATGAACACGAACCTCTGTCGGCCATCCCAGATGTGGACGAGGACGATCTCAACCATGACGACTCGTCGTCGGAGCGCAAACCGTCAGATACACCCAGCACGCGACCGGAGCAGAACACATCCCCAGCAGCAGACGCCAGCGTCCACGGCGCACGGCCGCACGCGCCCCGGACGTCTTCGCGACAGTCAATCAGGAGCAGCAGCATCTCGCAGAATGCACGGTGGAATGCGCTACCCAAGGATGTGAAGTACTACCTTCAGTTCCACCAGCAACACATGACGCACCACCACTATGCTTTCAAATACGACGGGGGAGACTTCCTGAAGACCACCTTCCTGGAGATTGCTATGAACGACGGAAGCGCAGCCCTGCTCTATGCCATCGTGGCATTCGCAGCCTATCACCACGCCGTTGCGCAAAACGACAGCGACATTTCGGCGTTCCTGTCCTATTACAACAAGTCCATAGCGTTCCTGCAGCAATCGCTCAAGAAGCAAAGGCACAGCATTGCAACCTTGCTGACGATCCTTCAGCTCGCGACGATCGAGGTATGGAACCGCATGGTGGATGGCAGGTCCCTGTCGGCTAACACATCTTTAGGAGTTCTTAGGAGACTGGGTCAACCTACTCGGTCACCAGAAGGCAGCTTATCAGATTCTCACCGATCTCTTCACCCCTCAAACGATCTTACAGGACGAGACACGACGCAAAATCATCACCTGGTATATTCGCTTCGACCTCTTCGCAGGGATGCTCTCCGGTGGAGAGACCATCCTCGACCGTCAATGGTTCGCTGCTTCTGCAGACTTCTACAAACGACAGACGAGGGACAAACCGAAAGATCTCGGCGCTCGATTCGAATCGTACTTTGCAACGACGCGGCTTCTGGCAACGGACGTGACGATCCTTTTCGCTGGCAAGGCGAAGGGCACCATAAGCGACGAAGCTTTTGTCGCAGGAATTGAAACACTGTCCAAGGAGTTTGCAGAGTTTGGGCATACAATCGAGACCGCGTTCACCGATCCTTCATGTTTTGTCACTGCCTTCCCAGAAGCTCTGCCACCTGGGGAAGAAGATCTTTTTGGCTTCCGAGATCCACGGTTCCTATACGCCGGAGAGCTGGCAACCATGAACTTTGTTCTCATAGACCACCTGGCCATCGACCTCATGTTGAAATACCAGTTGGGCATGGCCATGGGACAATCGCCCTCCCCTGAGCTGACACAGATTGCGATGAGGAAGTGCAAGTTGTTCGATGCGATTCAATACAATCAGGAGGGCGGACAAAACGCGATCCTGGGGTGTCAAGCAAGCCTCGGTATCATGAGTCTCTTTCTGCCCAAGGACGAGCGACACACAAGATGGTGTCAGAGAAAGTTTGCACGCATTGAGCAGCTCGGGTATGTTGGACGAAGATCAGGGGGCCCCGATTAGGCTAACTCTGAGCCAGATACATCTACCCTGAGACCTTTCGCAAACGTATGAGCGACACATGGTCCGAGGACGTGTCGCATTGGTGGCTGCCCAACGACGAGGGGTATCCAGCTACTATCCGCACCATTCGCGAATTCGTCGAGTATCGAGCGACACGGCCGACAGATGCCTGGGCTACAGGGATAAGCAATATGAGTGGTATATTTCGCACAATGAATCTGGACGAGCATGGGTTTTCTGACGACCTTAAGAGCTTGGGAAATGGTTCCGTAGACGGGAGTCTTAGCCCGGCCATTCAAGATCCGACAACAAGTCCTCCATGACCATGAAGAGCATCCACCAACTTCACTTCCGCCAGCTGCAGAGGCTAGGTTCAATTGTGATACCAAAGCAGTGCTGTGCTCAAGAGCTGTCTCCGCTCTCTGCTGCATGCGACGAGGACCCGCGGTGCCTGATCGCGTGACCGGCTGCATCGCTTCCTTTCAAGACAGAGACAGGACCTTGGAATCCCCACCTGGACAGAGAGACAAGCACCGTCCAGTCATCGAAGACGATAAACACTCTGCAGCGCATGAGACCTTAAACATCTCGTACATCTCGGGACTTGCCTTGCCCCCCGCTCGACCATCTGCCACGGTCGCCAACATGGCGGCACTGCTTGGCGATGCGCGCAATTGACGGCATTGATACTCCATGCACTGTGGGGCCAATGTGCTGCGCTATCAAATCACACGTCTGGAGGCCGAATCCGAATACATGCTTGTCAGCTGGATGCGCCGTTCTGCAAGTTCACCGCCTCGCCGTTGTGGCCATACAATAGAATTGGAGGTTCGACCATACGGAAAAACCGGTCAAATACATCCACTCGCGACGGACAGGGGCCATGAGTTGTGGTGCATCTCTCGTACAGCGGCCAGCGGGAGGCAAGCCGGTGTCAGCCCAGCATGGGGGAAGAGCAGAAGGAAAGACAGTTCTTCTGCAGTCCTATTATTAACGATATGGCCTGCCCTTTGCCCATGCCCGAGCAGCGCATGATGAGTAAGTGCCAATTGCGCAGGAGCGAGGCCTGGGCCATTGTGACCGGGTTGTTGGAGCTACGCACAACAAGCCTGTACCCAGACCTGCAGCCGTGAAGATTTGAAATAGAGGAAACCTCACAGACAAGCGCCACTCGCACTGGAGATCCTGGCCTCGTGCGAGAGCAAAGGATCTGGACCTCCGGCCTTGCATATCTTGTGCAGAAGCAACACCGGCAGAACATCAGTCCGTTCGGTTCAGGACTCTCCTCTCTGCTGTGGATACCTGTGCAATGGACATGTTCTGAGCACTCGGAACCAGATGCAGCTTGCCGCTTCGTGGCGCTCTGTACGACAGTCAGCTGTTTCAGGAATGACGCCAATGACGCCCCTTTCCAGAACGGAATGTCTCAACATCCAGGACGTGAAATCGTGATGCAATGTGTCCATCGGACTTTGAGACAGTGCTTGATACTGCCTTGCAGTGTCCTGCCTCGAGGCCTCACCTGGCTCCAACGACGAATTGGTATATCTGCTGTCATGCACAGAACCTCTGTCAGTCATCTATGGAGTCATGTCGCTGCTGATGCATCTAAGCATGGGAGGACGAACTCGCCGCAAACACTCCCGTATGTTGGGAGACAGGAAAGCCGATGAGATTGTCCAAAAACGCGGTTCAATCGAAAACCGACTCGATCCAACAAGAAGTAATCATAGAGCCGCAAGGCATCCTTTCGAAATACCCCGTAGCTCGATGTCACAAGTCAAAAAGCTGCTTCGCGGCCTGTATACATATCACAAGAATTTGTAAATACAAAGCTACGCTATTTGGAGAAGACGCCCAATGGCATCAGACAACGTGTCAAGCGCTTCAAGCTAGAGAAGATAGCTGCATAGAAACTACGGCTTTGGCCGAGCACGCCGACATCCCTGCCGCTTTCACGTTGACTTCACCTGAGCTTCGATATTGAGGAAAGAGAAAACTGACCTGGCAGCAACATTTACGTGAGATAAAATAGGTCAACGTATCGTCGGGTTACGAAGCTACAGCAATGTCCTCCAATATACAAGATGATTCGGCAACCCATCTGGAAACCCTCCGCAAACTAGACAAGACTTCCTTCCAATCTGAAGCTTCTCGAATTGTTGCGCTTAATGAAGCTCGTGCTCTCGTGCGGCGTCTCGAACAGCCTTGGGAAAGAATGTACGATGTTGCTTGGACTTACCCTGCTTTCATCGCTAGTCTTCGCGTCGCGCAGGACTTGAACATATTCTCGCATCTCACTTCTTCTCCGCAATCGAGCTCTCAACTTGCGGAGAAAGTTGGTGCGGACCCAGTGCTTCTCCGACGTTTACTTCGAGTTTTGGTCAAAGAGCATATTATTGATGAATGTTCGGAGGAAGCGGATGCGTATCTGGAAACGGAGATTAGCCGAGCGTTGAAGGATCCTGAAGGGGTGGTTACAGGTTTGGATGTGTATTACCTGGCAGGTATGCAGCAGGAGAAGAGGCTGCCGGAGTATTTGAAAGAGACTGGGTATGAGAATCCTGAGGATGGGGAGAGACCGCCTTGGAAGTGGATTGAGGGTGTTCCGGACTACGAAGGGGATCGGTGGAGTTGGATGAAGACGAGGCCGGAGCATCAGAGGAAGTTCAACCAGTTTTTGGCGGCGGTCAGGAAGGACTCGGTGGCTTGGACGGAACTGTATGGGATTGAGAGGGTGGTGGAGGGGTGGGATGGAGAGTCGGTGGTTCTTGTGGATATTGGTGGAGGGAATGGAAGGGACGTGAGTAACTTTGCGAAGGCGATTGAAAGAAAGTTGCCGTCTGCGAAAGTGGTGTTGCAAGAACGGAAGGAAGTCATCGACGGCCTCAAAGATTCCGATGGGCAGCTACACCCTCAAATCGAGCTGATGCCGCACAACTTCTTCGAGTCGAATCCCGTCAAAGGCGCGAAGGTTTACTTCATGCATGCCATCATCCATGACTGGGCGGAGAATAAAGCACGGGAGATTCTGGCACGTGTTCGAGATGCGATGAAACCAGGGTACAGTCGATTACTGCTCTTCGATCGTGTCGTGCCGGAGAGAGCTACCGATTGGGATGCGAGGACCGCTGCTCTCGATATTAATATGATGTGCAATTATGCGTCGTTGGAAAGGACCGAGGTACAATGGAAGGGCCTGATTAAAAGTGCTGGTTTGAAGTATCTTGGCTACCGAAAGGTCCCGGGACCGTCTTCTTTCATTGAGGCTGAGCTGTAACTTCTCGCTGGGCAGCACTGCTTCATATGTTGTTTCGTCTGATGGTACGCGTTGGAAGGCCACGCAAGACGGCAGTTCTGGGATGCGCACCTACTGTCTTTGTGGCAAGTCATCGGGAAGCATCGATCTACGCGAATCGCTCTGGTTCTCGCGCCATTTCCTGCACACTCTGACAAACAAGTCGGCGCCTTCGCCTGAGCCTGAGATTGGCACCTTCGCAGTGCGGAGGATGTACGGCACGTTCTGGTTCATTTGCAAGAAAGGCCTGAGCTGAGATCTGTGACCAGAAATGCTGTGGCAGTCCCAGTAATGCAACTTCCCCGACTTCAGCTCTTACCGACTGCGCCTTTCCTCGCTTGCTTTCGGGTGTCCATCTTGCACTCATCATGGAAACTGCCTGGAGCATATTTCTGTTGGTCAAGTGAAAGCACATCGTGATGGCTTCCAGCACCGGAGAAGTTAAGAAGCCCGCACCGGCGACTTGTCGCTACTCTCGCAGAAGGGGCGTAGAAAAATGCTGCTGGCAGCCTACAATTTGCCATTCCATAACTTTCGTTCCAAGGTGGCATATATAAGCGTTCGAGAGCGAGCCTTCGAAGATGAGCCAAGACGAGGGCAGCTCCGGACATTGGGCAGCATTCCCACGATAACTGGATATTGCCAGTTCGTGGTGGCCCATGCAGAATCTTCTCATGGATCTGGAAAGACTGCGCAGAGGTCGATCCGTCACTTTCCTGGTGGTCTTATAATCTACGAGTGCCTTTGACCATGGCGTAGCCAAGACTTCAAATTTCACGACCAGAAAGAGTTGAGAATTTGCTGAGCCGAGGGATTTCATGGACACTTGAGTACAACGGCTTGGATATTGATGGTCCTTGAGTTGTACGGCGACCTTTTTCGAAGCAGATAGTTGCTCTGTGCCGTCTTTGGTCGGAAGCTGCGGCGATGCTCCCACGCCACCAAGTCGAGCGCTCCGACATTCTAATCGTCCCGCTGTGGATGTGCACTTCTTGGTCGGCGCTCCAGTAGAATCCCCAGGGAGATGAGGAGCCCGTCCAACGGAAGAGGCCCTGGATTTCAATGTTGCCATCAGGCGCTGGGTGGGCCTCTTGACGTGCAGAGAACGCGGTATGAATGGCAAACAGCGAATGGCCACCTCACTTCCAAAGAGCTGATCGGCACCAGCAGCTCTCCAAGGTGATCTGAGGGCCTTCTCTGGTCTCACTTCACTTATTGTGTTGATTGTTGCCCTCACCGGTCAAAGCTTTACATTTCTGCACGGCAAGCGCGCTAACACCCGCAGCTGCAGGAAGTCGCGCTCTGCCTCGAGGCGCCCTTCAGCTTCAGCTTGGCATCAAAACTTTCCGCACAACTTCGTCACTGACGTTGACGCCAACTTGTCGCGCACACACCCACCTTCAAGGCGCTCGCAGTCGACACCATGCTCACGTCGCCTCCACCGACGCCCCAGCGGGCGAGTGTGCCACACAAGCTACTTGCTCACCTGTCGTCAAATGTGTCGGACTTTGACACCGGAGGCAGAGTCACCTCCTCGACCCGCCTGCAGACATTGTACCTCTTGAAGGACCAGGAAGTTAACAATGATCGCTTGCGCAACGCTACTGGCAAGACGATGCCACGCGTTCCTGCCCAGATGTTGATCAAAGCTGATGGTCAATGGACGGCATATCCGCCGTCACGCGATGCCGACTATGGCTATCAAGTCTCGATGCGATTCAACACTTTGGTGAGGATTTGGTGCCTGGCATTACTCCTATGAATATAGCACTAATGTATCTGCAGTACTCAGCCCCCACTGTGCGTATCGAGATTGAATTCTCACACGACGGACAGGCCGATACGCCACGCCTTCCGACCCTGGTTCTGGAATATCCATTCAATGATCGCGACGGAAGGCAGCTTAGTAACTTTGCATGCGAATTGATCGATGGCGAGTCGGACGATAGCGAGTCGGATGATGGCAAACAGCATAACGATGAGCAAGCTTTGACCATCGTACGCTTCGAAGCCAACGGAGCCACGTCGGAGGGCTGTGTCACCATCGACAGCTTCGCGTCTCCTCTGACCGCTGAGCAAGAGTCGGTGTTTGAAATGCTCAGAATTCAGCGCACCACCGGCAGAACTTTCACCATTGCAATCGCAATAGAGGCTCAAGAGGCGTCTGACAACACAAGCCCGACACTGAAGTTGCTTTCGAAACTTGCCGGCAGCGGTGGTTCGCTTTTGCCTTCACTCAGACACCGAGAGTGGGACGATTTTCTACCGGAAGGCTGGCAGAATATGGACGCGAAAGAGTTCCTGAGCGCGAGGCCTACCCGTCCCAATCTGATGCTGATGCAGAAGTGCGGCACTACTTTCAGCTCAGTCGAACACTTTTGCGCAACTCATCTAGTCGCTGAGTTGATAGCCAACGAAGAGGGCTCGGGAGAGCTGCGACTGTGGGCAAGAGCCGACCATGACATTGCTCTGTTCGAGCTGAAGGGCCACGTCGTGCTCGCCATGAAGTTCGGCAACCCAATTGTGCTCTCCAGTGGTCGAAAAGTCCTGAGACATCCCAAGATCCCGAATGATCTGGAAATCAGGATCAAGCTTTCCGACGGAGGCAGAGAACTCGTATGGATTACTGCCTGCCATGAGCGCGATTTGATGGGCCTCAATCGTCATTTCAAATTTGACGCATACTTCAAAGTTACGTCTCACACACCCGCGGATTTTCCTGGCCCATTCCACAAGCCAAACGACCCAAGACCAAAGATCTGGCGAGCAGTGAGCTTGATACCCCACGAGAATAGGTTCTGGGTCGAATCTGTTCTCCACACGGCGAGCACACTTTACTACGATGCACGCTGGCACCCCTTCATGCTCGGACAAGGCCTCGACTCGGTAAAAACGGTCGATGTCATCGCCACTGTGGAGGTGAAGGACGATGTAAAAGCTTCGGCTTGGCAGTGGCTGCTGAAAGCGAAGCAATGGAATTTTCAGCAACGACGAGTCATTGACAGTCTGCACCAAGCGTTGGATGGCATTGTCCTGTGCACAGGATTCCCGGGCACAGGTAAGACACCACTATTATTGGCCAGTGCGGTCTACTTCGTCAAGCTCGGGGGCAGGGCGATCATCAGCGCCGCAGAGAATGGTCATGTTGAGAGTATGGCCAGCAACCTCGATCTCATCATCGGCGATGCCACGAGGCCTGATGGCGAGCCGATTATAGCTTACATCGTGCAATCGTCTTCGCGCGGCAAACGCCTGCTTGAGACGAGTGGTCAGCAAGCTCCTTTCAACAAGAAGGGCCATCAGGACGGGAGCGCCGGCGGCCTTGACAACTTCATCTTCTCACTGCTGCTTGGGGAAGAGCAGCGAGATAAAGCCTTCCAGTACACCTTGTGCAATGCTGTCGCCGTGGAGGCAGAGAAGGGCGAATTGAATTTACCCATTCGCCTGCCGGACCAGAATGGCATTGATTATGGGCAGCCGATCAACGCCTGGCAAAGACTGCTGGAGCTAATGGTGCAGATCAGAGAGGGTATCTTTCCTCACCACAGCAAGATGGCCAGATCCGAGCTCCAAAAGATTTTCAGTGCATGCGAGAAGCAGCTTATCAAGAGGGCCGACATCATGGTCACAACAGCCTGCAACGCGAAGTGCAAAGAGCTTTGCTATTGGGGCAAATACATGCGGGAGTCTGGCGTGTCTATCTCGACCTTCGGCGTGTTCATCGACAACGCTGACTCTTGTCGCGCCATGGAGCTCTGGAATGTGATCACTTCCTGTGCGTCGCGTCCGGACATAGTCATGATTGCTGGCGACGTTCGGTGAGTTGTTCAGGTCCCTGCCTCTTCGCTATGCTAACGAGTGGACAGCGTTCTTGGGCCAATCAATACGAGCATCAACCAGATCCCTGTTTGCAACCCCTTTGCCGCGAGCTTAAGCATGTCGGACTTCGAGCGATTGATCAAGCTGGACCTTCCGGTTACCACGCTCACGGAGCAGGGTTTCATGGTGAGCTTCTACAACCAAGAACATTGAGCTGTATGCTGACTTGCCCCGGAACTCTGAACTTGTCCGATTCTTAAGCCTTGAATTCTACAACAACGAACTAAGCACAGCACCAGGCAGGGACTCGCCATTGCCACTTGGATTTCGTCAAGCTCTGCTGCAGAGTCTCTCACACAGGAAGTGGTCCAAACCTGAGCCAACCACACTAGGAGAGAAAATTCGCCTATGTTACCTCGAGGTCCGTCCTGAAGCATTGGAGTCCAACGAGAGGAGATCGATCGTGATGCTTGACTATGTTGAAGTCTTCTTCGCTTCCGTCTTTCCGGCGCTGCAAGAGCACTTCCGCGAACGCACGTCAAAAGAGCTGATCGTGATCGTGGCTTATGCTTATGCGGTAAGTGTCTTCGACCACTGCACGTATGCAGCTCACTAACTTGATATAGAGAACAAAGTATACTGAGTGTATGCATGGCCTGCAGGAGGAGCAAGGTTTGGACAACGACTGGTATCCACGCATTATCTCCGTCGATGGATCAAAGGGCCATACCGCTGCAATGGCTTTCTTTGATGGCTCAATGGAGCACGGAGATCGAATGGGTAAGTGGAATTGGTGCTCACTTGCTGCTACCTGCTGACAAATGACAGGCTTCCTGAAGGATCCCAAGCGCTGCAATGTGGCAATGACGCGAGCGACAGAGGTATTCTGGATGATCGGCGGCCCACTGCTTCGCAAAAACTACGAGGACGATGAGGAGGCTCCCTTCTACAAATTGAGACAGCAACTTGCGGCTACCGGCCAGGTCATCGACTTCCCCACGCCTAAGTTGAGGACAATCGACCTCCTCAAGGCAAAAGCTAAGGCTCGTGATGGAGAGCCTGCGCAACGTCGCGATGTCGCGCTGCGTCCCAAACAGCCGGCATTTCGTCGTTGAGGCTGCAAAACACGCTGAACTTTACACGTGCTTGCATAGCCTCGCAAGTCCGCAAGGACGCTCCCTGGTTCCGCAGGGTGTGCGTCTCGAAGCGAATGCATGCGAAGACGAGTACAATTTGTGTCTGGAGCAAAGGGTCGGGCTGCAGGTGATCGATAGAAGATCTGGTGGAAGAGCAAGAGACATGAAATTTTGTGAGCGACAATGGCTGCGATAACATAAGAGGCGCATGATGGCTGAAAATTGTGCAAGCAAACAGAAGATGACGAGGGAAGCGTGTTTCACACGATGGCGAGCAACGCCGCCAACATTGTACATCACAAATTGCAGAGCCATAAGTAGAACAATTCATTCGTTCTACTCTGTAAGACAGGATCGAGTGGTCTCTGCCATCGAACGCAGTGTTTTCGATGTGAATCCTCGTATGTGGCTTTGATACTGGCACACAGCTCAATCCACCACGAATGACTGGACACTTCAGCTGCAGACATCTCAGACCTATCACTCCGATATCTGAGCATAGCTTCTGTTCCCCTTCGGCTGCTGTGGGGTCCCTTGATGGGATTGTAGCACACACAATTGTTCATGGGCTCGACAGGACGCCAACATCAGCATCAGCTCAGCTCAAACGCCGCTCCCGAAACGGGTGATGTTCAGATCCGAATTACCGTATGTACAAGCACAGCAGCAATGATATTGAGCGACAGAAGGGACGCCCTCAAGCATCGGAATCGCACGCACCTCAACGAGAACCCGAATCCTTCCATCATCTCCGAACAATGAACGACTGGTCATCAACGACCACGCCACATCTCACGGCACCGAGGCCAACCCTCCAAGGCTTCCAAGATCCTCTACCGTACGAGATCAAGGCAACACCACAACGCTACAACACTCTTCGGAGCACCAACTCAAAAAGGACATTACTGATCAACAAAACAAGGAGGAAGGAAGATCAACCTCGGAGAGAAACCCAGTCGGCATACCGCAGGAGTACGTGCATCGAATAAGCGAAAGAAAGGATTCCAGTCCCGGGCAACTTGTCACCAAGTCCCAATTTATATCCTTGACGGAAAAGGTCGATCTGCTAGGATATTGTACGAGAAGCTCCAAAGCACGCAAGTTGTGCAGTTTTGTGCAAGCAAGATTCTTTCTCATCTGCTACTGCAAGTTTGAGGCGTGCATTACGATTCCTCCTTCCGCGATTCGTCGACCTCTTACTCGGGTCCGGAGGCGAAAGGCGAATATGATCGTCAATGCTATCTGCAGGAGAGCAGGAGCCAGTTCATGAGTCTGTCCGTCGAGACACCGAGCGCCGCAGTTGGTGGTCTGGGCCGTATGGAGAGATGTGTTGTCTCCTGATTCGAGGTCCTCGCTTGCTCGGATCAGATACTCAATTGAAAGATCGGAAGGAAGCATCTGTGGCTAGACTGCGTGAGCATGGGAAAGAAGCGAGAGAAGTGGATTCTGTGCGGTAAGGATTCCGCGCCACAGTGGCAGGAATACCATCCTTCCACTCAATGTGACCTTTCGGCACGGCATACGTGATGCGGCAGAACCGGCGACATGTCCGACGACAGCTGTGTCTTGCAAGGTTGTTCTGGCTATGGTCCGAGAATTGACGAGTGCCAAGCCGAAAGGCAAGGATTCCATAATAGAAACGAAAAAAAAGCGATCTGTATGGAATCCTTCTGCTGGCAATGGCAGGACGTCATGGGACATCTCAATTGACACATGAAACTGCGACATTGATTGAACCAGGCCAGCAAAAAAGCCATGGCTGACGAAAGAATGCGGTCCTAAGTCCCAAACAAGTTCAGGTAGTGAACACCACTTCATCATGGTTCGGCTCCCATTCCCACGCCTCATATTCGGCGCAATGAGGACTTTTTCGGATCCGATATCCAAGTGACAAGCGTGATGAGCTTGCAACGTGGTTAGCGCGTGTGTGCTGGGAAAATCCGCCGCCCAGTGCCCACGGCAGTTTCAGTTCACAGGTTTCGGATCTGCCTCGCGCGAAAGCACAAAGGATCACGCAAAGGTCCAAACACGAACGCAGCGCCCGGTCTCGAACTCCTAGGGACCCATCACCCGCTTGCCCATCCCGTTTCCTAGAAAGAGGAACCCTATGAAGATAGTGGCGGACGCTATCGGCGGCCAGCACACACACAGAACCACGCCTGCCACGATGGTGATGTGTACCCTGTCTAGTTGCAATGCACGACCCTCGCAAGTCTCGCTAGTCGGAAGCACCCAAGAGAGGAAAATATCGTCATATCGATCGGCTTGTTGCAGGGGGGCAGGATTCTACGGCCTCGTGCCGAAGTGCCCTCGAGACAAGCCTTGAATGGAAACAATGTGCTACGGCAATAGTCAGCGGTCAGTCATGCAAGCACACAGTGCTTTTCTTGTGTGTGCGCAGTGCCGGGCCGGTACTCCTCGTCGTATTGTTGACGTCGATACCGTAGGTCCGTAGCACGGCGAAGGCTCTTCATGTGGTCAGCTTCGCGAGTTCGCATTTGGCCTACAGTGACCCGAGGACGCTGCGAATTTGTGATGTCAGATGACATCTAGGGTGAATGTCGCCCTACTGTGGTTGTTTTTCTTGGCCGATCGTAGCTCTCGCCGTTGAATGCAGATTTGCGCCATAGTGGACACAGTGGAGATGCCATAGAGAGGATGGGTGGCTGAAGCAGTAACAATGTGGTTTCGAGAGCTATAGTCTACGGCTAACCAAATCGTTTGATGCTATGTCGCTCCAATTTCAACCACTACACACGGTGTGCATATCGACAATTGCAGACAAAGAAGCCTCCGTCGCAGAGCTTGCGCTCGATAGTGATCTAGCCGCGTCCAACATCGCAGTGTCGGTATTCTGTTGATGAGCGCAAGAGCCTCCAAATCCCACATCGCCTTGCCAACATGCATTCGTCCCCGCTCGTAAACCACCTTGCAGCTGTTCATACTGACCGCACGCAGCCAGAAGACAATATTGAATAACACAGAAATGTTAAAGAACGCCGGCCTCCTTTTTCTTGGGCGAGGGCAGGACCTGGTACCTCTCGCCCGCTTCGTCTATAATCTATATCTCGTTATGTTCTGTTTCGTGTCATATCACTGTAGCCTCCGTATTGATGTTGATGGGAAAAAACAAAACAAGCAAGTTGCCATGGGTGTTGCGCCCTCCGTACCTGTATTGCAAAGCAGGACTCCGTATTGCATGCATCGTCATAGTCTTGAGAATGTGAAGCCGAAGGATACCGTCCGATGAAACTTTTTGTACGCCGTGAATGAATATGTGGGCAGCAATCAGTCGCAGGTCGTGAGGTTATACAGACTGCGTCTGAACGCCAGCCACAGGACTGTCAAGCTGACTGTTGTACGGTTTGAAGAGTAGCTTCATGTCCAGAGTCAGGTTGTCAAGTCCGTATTGGTCATCGATGTCACCGACAGACCCAATGTCCTGCCCCTTGTTCTCATTATCGCCCACGACCATGCTCTTGATCCGCTTGAGCAGAGCCATGACGCGCTTGAAGCGCATGTCGGCTGGGAGAGTGAAGTCGGACGCCTGCTGGGATTGCAAGAAGCTGCGACCAAGGTAGAAGAAGTGAACGCCGTCGCGGCTGAAGCCAAAGCGACGTTGCTGAAAGTGCGTGGGTGGATACTGGAGCTCCATGTCGGTGTCCCAACTACGCTTCCACTTCTCGAGGGCCTGAGCAAGCCGCTTCTTCTCTTGCTGCGCTGCCATTGTGTTCTGTTGCTTCGGGCTTTGCGATTCGGTCGGCGTTCCATGGCCGCTGTTACTGGCGCTTTGAGGACGGCTGCCACTCTGCTCGAGCCAGTCATTCTGCGAGAGTGGTGTCGCCGGCGTGCTGCCATGCAGGTTCAGTGTAAATGGCTGCACTGGCTGATCGGGCCCAAGCAGCGCCTTCTGGCACACCACAATCCGGATTATCAAAGCGTGAATGAGCAGGAACTTGGAGTACACATTGGTCGTGCTTGGCTGGAACGAAGCGTACGGATCCAGCAGGACACGCATTGCATCACGTGTGGTTGGCTGCACCGGCTTTCGTGTGCCAGTCATGTTTCTGCTCTGTGCCTGTGGGCCGTTGAGTCCAAGGGCATTGGCGCACTCCTGAGGGCTGGTGGCGTCCCAAGCGGCGTCATCTGCAGGTAGCATCAAACGGATTTCAAGAGGGTCAAAGAGTGGCGTGCAGTTGAAGAACATGACCATAGCAGCGTCCGTAGCCAGTACCTGATAAAGAGCGCGGTTGCGTTTCTCTTGCTCCAGCCAGGATGACCAATTCCAATTCTGCGTCTGGTATTGTCCGGCCTGGGACTGTCTGGTATTATGCAACGGGCTGTGCGCATAATGTCCAGGGGGTGCTGAATCACAGAGAGCCATCGCTTTAGCAATGCGAACCAGCATTGGAAATTCGCCACGTGAGCCCTGTCTCTGAGCTGCATCACCGTGCCACATGAATGCCGTTTGGAGCATGGAAAGAGCTTGCAACTCTTCCACCTCAAAGGCTTGATCTCCCAGGCCCTCGGTTTGCCCATTCCGAACACGGTTGTAGATAGTGCAGTTCGCGTATACGGTCGTCTTGACGAACTCCATCAACTGGCGAGTCTGATGGACGCCAAGCTCAGGGCTGTAGACTGCGCCGATGCAGATCATGGCGAGAACCAGATTGTTGTTCGCATTGGTCAATCGGAATGTCGGCATGTGTAAAATCGGCCAATGTCCGTGGAAGGAGGTGTAGTGCTCAGCGAAATGCTTGAGCTTGTCCACCTTCAGGACACTTTGCACGAGGAGAGAAGCTGGGTCATTGCGTGCGCTGTCGAGTCCGTTGGGAAAGCAGTGCTGCAGCAGGCTGTCGACTTTGGCCTGTAGCGGATCGTCCATGCCCCAATTGGGCAATCCATGGATGCCGTTATCCATGGTCTCACCCCCAAAGCCACCCGGGTGAGAGTAGAGACTACCTAAAAAAGACTCGTTATTGAAGTCGTTTGACATGGTATACTCTTGCTTGTTGTCTGATTCGGTCTTGATTTGTGTATTTCCTTGCGAGCTCGCGTTCGCAGGATGGCTGCCAATAAAGCCATCCTGGCCACCTTGCGTGAACATACGGGTCCAATCGACGCCGTTTCCATCAGTGCTTGGCATCTGATTGTTCACCTGGCTGTTGGCGAAGCGCGAGCTCTGCTGGCCTAAAAAAGACATCTGCTGTTGCTGCTGTTGTGCGGGCGGACCACTGTACATGTTGTTGCCATTCATCTGCGGTTGTTGAAAGGAATACGGGCTTTGCATGTGGGAGCCATTCTGGGCATTGTGCGCATTTTGCGCGTTCTGCATGGCGTAGGCGTGCATGCCGGGCTGGTATGGCGCCGATGTCTGTTGTGCTTGATCGGCGCCTGACGTGTTCGAGCCTAAGATCCCCAGACCAGCGAGACTGCTGCGGTGGCTCAAGTTGCCGCCGCCAATCAAGCTGTTGGCTCTTGAGGATCTGGCAGATAAGTCTCCATTGACATTGGGACTGCTACCCACAAGGTTGGCATTGTACGAGTTATTCGCACCGGCGACATCAGGCATACCTGCTAGACCGATCGGGGGATCTTGCTGACTGATGGACAGCCTGTTCCCACTGTTCGTGTTCCGCCGCTGGTGTGCGAGATGGTTGGCACCGGTGGGGTTGCCGCGTCGCAAAGAACACTTCTGGAAATGGCGTTTGAGGATGTCACTGCGAGAGAACGTGTCTTTGCACAAGTGGCACATGTATGGACGGTCACCGGTGTCTGCATCGCGTTAGGTTCTAGTCTATGCGCCGAGGATGCCATCGGATACTTACGTCTAAGCAAGTGACGCTTCAAGTGCTTCGCGTGCAGATATGTCTTGTTACAGTGAGGGCAGGGATACTTGCCATCCGCATCCTTTTGCGGGATCATGCTCTTCGTGGCGGTGCCACTGCCTTGTGGGGGAGGATTGGGTCTTCCTGGCGCACTCGGGAGAATTCCGCGGCGTCCTTGCGAGCCCACGACGTGGGTGGGCTGTTGTTCGTCCTGCATGAAGGAGGGAGCCTGTCCCATCTGGCTCATCTGCTGGCCTGCTTGGGCGAGACTCGGCAAGCTACCGCCAGCACCCATCATGCCCCCCGGTGGCATCGGGCGGAGGTTTGGCAGGAGAGAGGAAGTGGCCGAGGGCATGGGCGAGGAGGTCGATGTCGGGTACATCATGTTGGCGGTGCCGTAAGGGTTGGCGTAGCCCGTTGGTGGCGCCATGCTGCCCGAGGTCGCCGTCGGAGACATGTGCTGTGGATATGGGTGCGACTGCTGTTGTACGCCGGGGAGTGATGGGTTGTGCGGCGTGGTAGGCGTCGAGGACTGACTGCCCGGCTGGCCGTAGGACAGATTGCCGAACGAGTAGCCATTCTGACCTTGTTGCGCCTGCTGCAGCGGAGGGAGTGTCGGGGCGGAGGCCTGCTGGTGGGCGGCGACGGCTTGCTGCTGCTGTTGTTGCGTCGTCGAGGGCTGGTTTGAGGACTGGCCGTTGCCCGTTGCGTACGCGTATGCGTGTTGTTGATACTGGTTGTTATCCATGTTGGCAATGGGGAGGAGAAAGAGTGGAAGGTGGTGGGGTCGCGGCGGGTAGGCTACTCCAGAGTTGCTATGTCGCGCAGAACCACACCACACATCGGACCAGCTGCGAGACGGGTGTCGGGCTGTGGAGAATTTTCAGCAGATGCCGCGGGGGCACGCAGCTGCTGGGAGGGCAGGCGCGGACGCACGTCGACCGTGCCTGACGCCTGCGCGGAGTGGGAGGCGGCAGCGACGCGCTGGCGGGCGGGCAGAGGAGTGGTGGGTGTGTGCGGTATGG